CCCGGCGAATCTGACCTGGGTTTCTGGGGCCCGAGACAAGACAAGCCTTTTTGCCCCAGCGTGGTTTAGTGCTGATCTGCCCACCACTGTAGCATGCCATGGGTAGAGCCCATGAGGTGGTGGGCGGAGGAGCCAAGGATGGATTGAGTGGTTGAGTTGCTTGCCTGGATCGAAAGAAACCCCCAGCCATCAATGATCAAAGCAGGCAACACAGAAGCAAGCCTTGCGCCGTTGACCGGCCGGCAGTTGGATTCGGGGGCTTGGCCTCTTGGATGGATGGGCTTCCAAGAGGAGGGTTTGCTGTATTCGTACACATGTCTTGCTGTATGGCCATGAACCGTGGGTAAGGATCCTCACCTCGGTGTCTTCCCGCTCAACGTTTTTATCAGATCCGATGGTAGGCGGATGATGGAGAGGCAAAAGGTAAGGTAACCTGGAAGATGGGACGGCTGGGGGTTGTATTGCCCGTTGCAATGATCAAGGGGCGGGCGGGCGCGTTGATGCTGCGCGTATTCGTTCTTTGCCCCCATCGATCGCGGATTTCCCTCCGTGAGTAAATTGGTCATCCATCGTGTTGGATCATGGAACCTGGGAACCGGTACCAGGTAATGGAACTGGTTCAAGACGTTCAAGACAAGGCCTGCTGTTTATGAAGCTGTTGATTCCAATATGAACTTTGGTTGCTCAATCTCATGACCTGGATTAGCTCGTCGGATACCTAGTGAACGGCGTTTCCCCTCTTTTCTTCGAGTGCCCTTGTTCATTTGTTGGAGAGAGAGAGAGAGAGAGAAAGAGAGCGAGACGTTCCGCCGTGTCGCTCCCGGCCAAGTGCCCCAGTCCCGGCCAGGCTGAGAAAGAGAGTTTCCCTCTCCCCCAATTCCCGCCGCGTTCCGCACGTTCTCTCCCTTTCCCTTTTGTTTCCCTCCTTATTCCCATCGCAATCTCCCCCCTTCGTTGTGTGTGACGCCGCCGCCGCACCGCATTTCACACTGCCTCTATCACCTGTTTATTCCCAGCGCAACACCGCGCAAACACACACATCCCTCCGGCCTTTTTGAGCACCGGCGACACCGATACCGACACGGATCAAATCACTATACTTTTCCCGGGAAACTTTGCGCAAAGCCCGCCGCCGCCGCGCCGAGTTGTTGCTCATCCACTCCGTCTGTCCTCCGCTTCTTCAAATCTTGGCCTTTATTCCCGGCGGAAACGGAGGCACCGCATTGGAAAGCTCTCAACCAACCCGGCCGGTTGCGACGTCCGGGCAATCTAATTGTTCGAATCGGTCACAGTGTCTAATTATCCCGTAAACTCTCTTACGACGCTCCGCCCGGACAGTCAACCGCCGGCTCAATTGAGCTTCTTTCGGTGAAGCATCGCCGTGGGCGTGCCGCAAGCGGGAACAAGCAGCAGGAATTGATTCGACTGCCTGTTCACTCATCTTCGCGGCGCCATTGACAGTCGACATCAAATCGGTCTTGGCACCGACCGCTCATCTAACAACGTAATTCAATCGTTGTTGATTCACACCTTCAAGTCGTTCAATTGAGACGCGCGCAACGTTCCCACCGCCCGTCATGGCGCCCAAAAATCATCTCCCACATCCCCAGCCGCAACCCTTCACGCCGAGCTCGGCCTCAACAGCCTACGCATCGCCAGTACCAGAACATGGGCGTCTACCATCACTCACTCATCCACAAAACGGAGGAGTAGCAGCTGCCGCACTCTCACCGACGACATCAGCGGCATCGGGACCGTCGTACTCGACGCCCGTCGCGCGGCAGCAAACGGCGACACCGAAAAGCTACGGCAACGGCAGCGGCAACGGCAACGAAACTCATCACCAACACCCGGATGAGAGCGTCGACGGCAACTCGGCTAGCCCCGATGACGGCGGCGACAAGGGCCCTGCGAGGAAGAAGCAGAAGCGGAATAAGCCTACGTTGTCGTGCTTTGAGTGCGTTGAGCGCAAGACTAAGGTAGGTTTCATTCATTTTTGTATCTCACTGTCTGCCTTTTTGCTATCTGTGCTTCATGCCTTGTTCTTCTCGTTCCGTGTTTTCATCTGATCTGATTTCTCATCATTGCGTGCTTATGCCCCCACACTGAATTGTGCTGTTGGTTCGAGTGTACCAATGCGACTAAAGTTCAATGTCATATCAAGAGGTCTTCTTGATCATTGGGCACATGATGCTATTTGCACGACGTGGGGATACGATATTCGATGCTCTCAGGCTTGATACATGGCATGCATACGATGTAAACCACGTCGTATCAAGTGCTGTTGCTCTCAAAGTAAAAGCAGCAGGCCTGTCAAATCCACCAAGTCAAGCCAAAGAATATGCTAACACGCACGCAGTGTGACCGAGGTCGACCCAACTGCCTAGCATGTATCAAACGCCAGACGGAATGCCAATATGCAGCCGTGGCCACGATCCTCGAGTAAGCACGCTCACAGCCCTCGCGACTGTTGTCGAGACCCTCGGAACACAACTAACAAGAGAGCAGAGAAACAACAAGATCCCTCGCCAACGGCCGCCGCATGACAAAACCCCCGAAACCAAAAGGCCCAGGCGACATCTCCACCATCCCAAACGTAGCAGACAGAGGCCTCATCGAAGGCCGCGGCTTCACCTCCCGCGGCTCCGTCGGCTCCGTCGCCTTCTCCTCCTCCACGGGCCTCCTCTCCAACGTACCTTACTCCTTACCCACGGCCAGCAACGTCTTCGGCATCGGCTCAGAGCACCCCTTTGCAAACTACTGGACCTGCGAGGGCGGCCTGCCCGAGGTCATCTCCGTCCTTCCCGAGAAAGTCCAGGCCGACATCCTGCTGGCGCAGTACTTTGAGTGCGTCGACCCGGTCTACCCCATGATCCACCGGCAGACCTTTTACGCCGACTATGAGCACTTTTGGAGCCTCAGCGCCGAGGAGAAGAACCGCGTCGATGCGGCGTTTGTGGGGCTCATCTTTGTGATGCTCGCGCTGGGCACGCAGTTCGTGACGTCGAGTTCGCCAAACGATGCGAAGCAGACGGCGGAGTTTTACGCGTCGGCGAGTAACCAGGCGCTGCGCATGTTTTCGTACTTGAGTGCTGCTTCGTTGCGCTCTATCCAGTCCATGGTGTTGTAAGTGAGCCCCCTTTTTATGTGAAATCTGCGTGTAGCCATCTTGAGAAAAGTTGATACTGACTGGACCAGGTTGACGTACTTCCTGATCAACGACAACCACGCCTCGGACGGGTGGGCGTTTGCCGGCATACTCATCCGGCAGGCCTACGCAATGGGTCTACATCGTGACCCCAATATTGGTACGAGCATTCAAATCATCTACCAAAGAGCACCAAAACCTAACACCATCACAGTAACCCCCGACGCCCCCATCTTCGAAAAGCAACAACGCCGCAAACTCTGGCAAGCCGTCCTCCTCCAAGACACCTTCCTCACAGTCCTCCTCTCCCTCCCCCCGTCCGCAACCCACACCGACGTCTCCGTCGAAGACCTCGTCGACGACGGCTCCGCCATCGCCTCCTCGGACCCGACAGACATCGCCTACATCCGCGGCTCCTGGACCCTCGCCAACCTCGTCCAGGAAACGATCTGCTCCCCGCGCTCTCTAGACCTCCCCATCTGCGCCACCGTCCGCCACAAGTCCAAACTCATCGCCGACTTCCGCTGCGTCTACCGCTCGTTCCCGGACGTCTTCCGGTCCTGGGACGCCGAGAGCCTCGCGAGCCTCGCGCGGACGAACAAGCGCGTCGTGAGGCAGACGCTGTTCTTGACGAGCAATTATCACCACAACATCATGCTCGTGTACGCGTCCGAGAGCGCAGAGTGTCCTTCGAACACGCGGGGCACGCTGGAGGCGGCGCACGAGGCGATTACGTCCTTCTTTCTGCTGTTTGACATCTTCGAGCTCGAGGCGAGGGTGTGGTGGGTTTTCAACCACCGCGCGTTCCTCGAGGCGCTGTGTATCGGGAGCGTGCTGCGGGAGATGGGCAAGGACCCTGTCGCGGCGGAGGAGGCGGATCGGGATCCGTTGTTCCAGAGGGCTAGGAGCGACATTGGTGAGTTGTTTTACCCCCCTTATTCTATCTTTTCTCTCTTTCTCGTTTCCGTCATTCTGTGATTTGTGTTTTCTCACTCCCTGGCTTCATGTCCACTGTGTGCTAATCAACGTGATGCAGCAAAAATGATCAAGATCATGGTGTTGATGGGCGAGGGCGAGCAAGGGTCCGACGTAGCGCGGGCCCGTGTGCAAGTGTTGAAGGACCTCCTGCCACCCTTGTAAGATGTCGGTGCCGGTATGATTGCTTGTTCATGCTCTCTAGGCTATGGCGGGGTCTGTTCTACGATTTTACCTGTCAATCTAGGGGGCAGAACCGCAGAGTTGCGATTGTTTCGCAGATCACTTGATTCCCTGGTTGGGGGGGGGGGGGGGCGAAAGAGTCCGAGAGCCATGTTACATACATGCAACTCTTATTGCGTAGTAGTTGACGCGTGGATGGGTGGGATTGTTGACTACACATTTTGTTTCTTGGGTGGTCAGTGGTGTAAAGCTTGAGCCTCGAGGAGTTGCGTGGTCTTTGTCCAGGCTTGTTTTGTTCTGTTTGTTGGTTCGTCTCGTACATCTATCTCCCTTACCGGCCCTGCATGCGTATCCGTAGGTTAAACCAACCATTTAGCAGTCTACGGCGGGGCGAGAAGGGGGTTGGCCGGGGAGAACGGAGGAAGGGGGGCGTATCCGGCATACTCATTCATCTTTCGTAACATTACAAGATACGGACGGGTATTCCCACATTCGGGCGTTCTCACGGGACATGCTTGTAGGTTTACGTTGGAAAGAGACTACCTTAGTGTATTGCTTAATCATAGGCGAACGAGCCTTCTTTCCTCTTCATCAGGTTCTTCTCCTCCCCCTTCTCTCTGCATTGGGTCTGGTCTCTTTGAGCCCCCGAACTTTGTCGTACCACGTGTTCCACGCCGTCGTCATTTAAAGGTGGATGGCCTCGTGGCCATTGATTCGGCTATCAGTCGAGCAGGACCCGCGCGCCCACGGCGGCAACGAGGACGGACAGTCTGTGACATGCCAAAATGGGTCGGCTGTAATGCGCATGGCCACCCATTTCCGTTCGTTCTACTGCGTAGGTGGGATGGGTGCAAATAGTTCCACCCGATCGTGGACCGAGGGACCGAAAATAATCAAACAACCCCTAGGCAAAGGACCAGAAGCGGCGTGGCCGTCCAGGAAGTCGGGAAGCAAAAATGCGCGTCCAGCAGAGGTGCAGCGCAGCAGTGCCGGATTCCCATGAGTTCATCACTTCATCGCCTCGACGGTGGAGACCCCGTCGCCTCGGAAGACTAGCGCCGCCCCCCACGTTCCGGTGCTTAGCCCGTGGTTCGGGATCCACCCGACAGTGCGGTTTGTTCAACAGTGAGAACACAGGGGACCAACAGCAGAGGCCAGTCTCACAGCAAACGGGACAATGCAGCAGTCTCTGCACATTCTGATAGTCTGGGAGTCTAGCTGCAGTGTATCCGTACTACGTAGTCAGCAGGGCGGCAACACCATATACTACTACCTTTCTTGGTACTAGTGTTGGTGTTGTGTTTGGTCGAGAAGAAACAGGAGCAGAAATAATTCCCAGGGCCATCGCATCAACCCCACCAGTCCGGTGCTTAGCTAACATGCGCTGGTTCCCATTGGCTCTTTGAGAAAGTGGATCCCGGCGCGGGACTGGCAGTTCGGAGTGCACGAGCCAAGCAGTAAGTACGTACCTGACCGAATTCGAGGGACTCGTCAGCTCATCGACGCTGATTGGCCACCACCGGTCCAGCGGCGCCGAGAGGATTGCGCAGCTCACGCAGCCCCAATCTACGCAGCGCAGGTTGGCAGGTGCGAGTGTCCCTGAATGTGCCCACTTGCCTCTTTGCTCTCACTGTCAGTGTACTTCGTACCTTACCTTCGAGGGAAGGGACTGCGCGTCCCTCGACACTGCCTCTCTCCTTCCCTGGGTGTGTTTGTTTCCATCTTTTGCCATCCTTCAAGTTTCACTCTTTCTCTTTTCTCATTCCTTCCTCACCAATCTCAGTTCGTCACTTTTCATTCTCCGTGGAAAGTGTGAATACCTTCCATTCGTTCTTCTTTTCCATAATTGTTTCGTTTTCACTAAGGAGGGGGTTTTGTAAGTGCGGGTGTGAGAGAGTGAGACATCATCGACGGTGTAAGACGACTGGACTAGCAACAAATAAGTTGGCACACCGAACCAACGCACACCACCAGCCAATACACGACTCGACAACTCACATATCTACTACGTACACCTACCCAGGCAGCCATTTATCACCTTACCCTGCCGTCCACTCTCCGTCATTCCTTCACCCTTCACTCCTCGTCAACCCGACCTAACCTAACTCAACTCAACGCATCGCAACAACAAAAGGACGACTAAAAGGACGACTGACGACAAGGACCCATTTGGTCCAGGCAGAGGGATTTCTCAAATACGAACATTTGGGGATTTGTAACCTACTTGGACAAGCAAGGGGTTGACGACCGTTGAGTCTCGACGAGGGCAAACCTCATATCCCATCCAACAACCAAACATCCCCCAAACCGCCAATCATGCGTGGCTTGGCGCAGGCTCTCCTGCTCGCGCCGGCCCTCGTCGGCGCTGCTCCGTCCAAGATTGGTATGGAAAAGGCCACCGGTATGTATTCTCCTCTCATCTCGCATTCCGCAGTCTCATCGTCATTTCATCATGACTAATATCTTCCAGATGCCTCACCATCAACCTTTGTCACCTTTGCCATCCCACCGGGCTTCAACGAGGACCAGACCAAGCCCTACGTTAGTTCATCCCCTGATCATCGGAAGCATCTCAAACCTAACACATCACAGACCCTCCACTTGGAAGTCCTCGAGGCCCCTTCCCCCTGCGCCTACCCTAACATCAAGATCAATGACAACGCCCTCTCCCAGGGCGGTCACACTCTCGGCCGCGGCACCTTTGCCGGCGACCACGACGGGTCGACCTTCATCGCCTCCTGGTCCGCAACCTGCGCCGGCGACGAGCAGCTCCTCCGCTTCACCCTCGAGTCCCTCTCCGGCCGCACCCTCGCCTCCGATCTCGCCTTTGTTGCTCGCTTCCGCCAGACCGCCCCCGCCGCCATCATCGAGGTCGCCGGCAACGTTCGCACTTCGGACGCCCACCCGCCTCCGCCCTCCCAGACGCTCCCCGAGTTCGAGGGACACCCTCCTCGCCCGGGCGACGACGAGGATGGACTCCTCGAGGATCCTCCTTTCCCCCCGCCGCCACATCACCATGTTGGCAACCACCCGGATAACCACCCCGGCGAGCAGGGACAGCGTCCTCACCGCCGCCCTCACCACCCCGAGGAGCACCCCGAGCTCGATGAGAAGGCCCTGGCGGAGCTTGACGACCTCGAGTGCATGCGCCATCAGCTCCACGCCTTGAAGCACGCCATCCACGAGAAGGAATCCCGCCTCGCCCAAGAAAACGGCATCTTCCCTCCCAGCCACCGCGGCTTCCGCTCCTGCGACTCCTTGAAGTGCGTAATCGACACCCTCATGCACCGCGTCCGCGGAGGTGGTGGCCCCGGCTTCCACGGCAAGGGCCGTCACCCCGGAGGCAGAAGAGAAGGCCACCACCACGACCGTCGTCCCCACGGTCCTCCCCCTTCGTGCCCAGGCTTCCCCTTCCCCGGACACGGCGGCAACCACACCAAGGGAAACCACACCGAGCCCCCGCCACCTGGTCCCCCTCCTCCAGGCTTCTGCCACTGCCTGCCGCCCCCTCCCGAGGGTCCTCCCGATGGACCCCCTGAGGATGCCCCTGAGCCTCCCCCGAGAGGACCTCACCACGGCCCTCCTCCCCCGCCGTTCGACGAGCTTCCTCATGGACCTCCTCACGACCACCACGGCCCACCGCCGCCTCCTCCCCCTCCTCCTTTTGACGGACCTCACGGACACCACGGCGGTCCTCCTCCTCCTCCCCCGCCTCCTCATGATGGCCCCGGTTCCCACGGTCACCACGGCCCTCCTCCTCCTCCCTTCGATGGCCCTCACCACGGCGGTCCTCCCGGTCCCCCGGGCCCTCCACCCCCGGGACCCCCGCCCGACTTTGAGCATGAGCACCCCCTTGACCACGAAGGCGACCACCGCGGCCCTCACGGTCACCACGGCGTAAGTCCATCCCCCTTTCTCCCCTCTTCACAAGACCAGCAAAGACTAACACTCCCAACAGCCCCCGGGATTCCCCCCTCCTCCCCCAGGCCCTCACGGCGGCCCGCACGGAGGCCCACATGGACCCCCTCACGGGCCCCCTCACCTCCCCCTCCCCGCCAAAATCTCCGTCGCGGTCCTCCTCTTCATCGGAATCCTGGCCCTCCTCCGCGCCGGCATCCTCTCCCGCTCCTCCTCCTCTAGATCCTCCCGCCACAGCGACGAGTCCCGCGCAGAGCGCCGCGAACGCAAAAACTCCCGCCGCGCCCTCCGCCGCGACTACCGCGAAGCCCGCAAGGAAGCCTTCAAGGCCACCCTCACAGACTTCTGGTCCCGCATGTTCACCACCGCTGGCACCACGGCAGGAGACGAGGAGAAGCAGGCGTTCATGAGCAGCCGGCCCTCCATCTCCGAGTCTGAGAGGGACTTTGAGACGATGGAGAGCATGACGGATGAGATTACCGAGTTCCGTAACGCTGCTACCCTTGTTTCGGAGATGGTTGCTGCCGAGGAGCGGAGGCAGAGGATGAGGGAGCAGCAGCAGCAGCAACAGCAACAGCAGCAGATGCCGTGCCAGCACCAGCACCAGCACCACCTCATGCCCTCCCACTTCCAGCGCCCCGCCATCATCACCCCTCCCTCCCCGACGACTGCGTTCGCAGAGTACATGGGCGACGACGTGCTCCCCGCCTACGACGAGCACGCCGCGCCGTCGGTGATCGTCTCGGACGGATTCAGCAGCTACACGCCCGGGTCCAGCGACTATACCCCCAGCGCGGGGTCGGATACGGCGTCCAACATTGATGATGTCCTGGGAGAGACCAAGAACTAGACTCCTGTAAAGTAGTCTTGTCTTTTGTCCGAGCATGTAGAGAAGGAGAGGGGATGTATATGGAGTGCAGTGAAAAGAGAGTCGGTTTTTTGAGTATAAATCATTGATATTTAGTAGAGATATCCCGCATCTATATCACATCTATTTTTTTTTTCTCTCTTACGCATTTTTATTTGTGTTTTTTTGCTATGTATATATATATTATCTAGGTGGGCGGCGTTTATTGGCCCGCGGGCTACACAGGAGTAGTGTCGTGGATTGTATGAGTGTCGATATAGATACTCATAGCCATTAAGAGATGAAAAGATAATCACGATTAACAAGAACTGATTCGAACACATCAAGTATCCAACCAAGAGTGCAAAGTAAAGCAAGCATTAGTGAGCGAAATTCATGCCGTCATCCCAAAGTCCGTGGCCGTTGAAAATCGCTGGTGATAAAGAGGGAGAAGGGAATCGAGAGGTTTCGCGCATGTGGTTGTTGGATGCGAATGCATTGGATGCGCAATCTGCGGGTGGGTGTGGAAGTTGCTGTGAATGCGATGTCCGTTCTGCCTTGTTCGACGTTTATCATAGGCACATTATGAACATTTTTTACTGCCCATCACGGAGAGGTATTTGGCACCATGGTAGTATTTCTGGGTCTTGTACCCACGTCAACCAAAGATGAACTCCCGGTAGTTCTTCCCTATGCGTTCCACCCCGTCTTGTAATGTCCACTTCTTAATTTCGCACACCTTTCTGTACATCTCCTCTAGCCTGGTATCCATCTCTTCACCGGCGATGTGTAGGTCACTCTCAACCAGAATGCTATTATCAGGACACGCTTGGAGAACCTCAGCAATCTTGTCAGCACCAGCTTTGGTGCCCATGTTGATGGCCGAAGAAAAGGAAAAGAACATGCGTGCGGGTATGGCTGGGTTAGTATACTGCTTCAGCATCTCAGCAGGTCCAGAGTACGAATGGAGGCATATCCGCGGCGGATACGGCTTTCGCGGAATATCTTTCCTTCCAAACTCATCCTCTTCAAACTCGTCCTCGGAATCAAAGTCCTCGGCTCCTTCGGCAACGAGGCGACGCTTCTTCTTGCTGACGACCTCCTTCTCGTGACCCTTCCACAGCGAAGAGAGGGTATCATGGAGAACACCGTGGGCTTGGACGCCGTGGACACTCACAGGACGGCCAAGCTCACCGGCGAGGGCCAGCTGAGCTTTCAGCACGGCAACCTGGTGGGGCATCTTGACATGTTGAGGCGCCAAACGACGCCCCTCGCGACCACCTGGGGTAAGGGCCTGGTCACGAGAGGACTCGTCGGCGTCCGTTCGTCCTTGGGGCAGACGAAAGGCCTTGTCGAGACCAACCTCGCCGACTAGAGCCAGGGGATGATGTTGGAGACGGGCCCGGGTATCGGCTAAAAAGGCCGACAAAGAACGCGGGGTGGGCAGGGCGTCGAGAAAGTCGGGGTCTTCAGGGGCGGGGGCTAGCACGGCCTGGTAATGGCGCTTCTTTGCGTCTGGCTGGCCCTCATGGTACGTCCTCTCAGTCTCGGGCACGGTGTCATCGAACAGCTGGTAGGAGAACCACGGATGCCAGCCAAAGGAGGGAATCAGATGGCCCTGAGACAGCTCGTACTTTGATTGCACACCGTGGGACGCAGCAACCTCAGCAACGAGGGCCTGGTCTTGGCTCCGGGTGGCCATGACGGTTAGGGTCGAGGCGCGCATACTGGGTATAGCCTCGATGGTGGACATGGTGTCCGTGGGGTGGCAATGAGCATCGTAAATGCCAGATTCCCAGGGGAAGGGGTCTGATGAAGTCGAGACAGAGGTGACGACAGTGGAGCGGGTAAGCTCCTCACCGTCGTGTTGGCCACACATAGCGGTGTTTGACTGGCGGATGGTCGGTGCTTGGCCTGGCCTCGAGCTGGTGGTGTATCCGTACTGCGTTGAGCTTTACGGGCAAGCGGGAATGACGGTGATCGCCTGGCCTCAAACAGAAAGAGACGGCTGTGGCTCAAAGGAGAGGTATATCACGATAGGTAGATGGTTTGACTGTCGCTACCTCCAACCGGTGAACTGCACCCCGGAACCTTCCACTATCTTTGGCCGTCTTGCAAACGCAAATGAGTGGCCAGGAACGGGACGACTGGAACTATGGGATTGGGTGACGGTTGCAAGCAGGGACCGCGGTGCGCTGGGACGGTCTTGGACGGCGGCGGAGGGGTTGCGAATACGACGGCGTGGACGAATACCTCGAAGCACGTTCAGGGCGTAGGGGAGACGGCGGTGGTGTAAAGAGAACGCTGACCGAGGTACCGGAGATGGATACCCGTCAACTGAGAAGTGCAAAGAGCCGCAGAGAGGCTGTCACACTGGCGCAAAAGTGATGATGTGCGGTGATGTGATATTTTTGGAGTGGAGCATCTCGATGTTATCGACATCAAAGGGCGCGATGATGCTGTGGCAGTGACAAGCAGAAACGCGGGGCAGCAGCCTCTGAGCCTCTGAGAGCAGGCAGCTCTGGAACGAGCAATTAGTGGGGCTACTGTGGAATGATGTCAAGGGCAGGAGCGACTCGATGGAACATGGGCTCTGCGACTTCCATTTCCATTCTCATTTCCATTTCTATTGGATTACTCGAAGTCTGGAAGGAACGACGGGAAATGGACGGGGACGGCCGGGGGAAGGAAGGGACCGGGAGGGGGCGGGACTGGCAAGTACCTCCATGTGTGACACGGAAAGAGCGCGGATGGACAGGAAGGAGCTTAGTATGGAAGGCAGGAAGGAGACACTCGAGACCCTTGCTGCGTCGAGCTTCCCAAATCCCAAGGCGCCTCATCATCATCCTCTGCCTCCTCTGCCTCCTCTTCGTTGCCTCGTCCAAACTTTTTTCTAAATCGGAAGAAGAGCGTCACTGCCACCGAGGTATCTTGCAAAGATGCCCTACCATGGAATCAGACCCCAGTCTCTGTGTCGTCTCTCGAAAGTCATGCCGCAGCCAAACACCACTTCGGTCGGTATCTTCGGCGTGTAGCGCATGCACCAGCTGCAGAAACGCACAACACAGACACAGCCACCCTACAACGACGACACATTCGATGCCCGTCGAATCCTCACCGGCAAACCCCAAGCTGGCGAATCACATAGAACCATACATACGTGACCAGTCCAGACCGCACCCTCCAATACACCTCCACAGCTTCCTATCGCCAGAGAGACCCCAAAGTCCCATCGCCCGCTTGTCAGTCTATCGGGTCTAGGGCTGCGTCTAGGTCTGCACCTAGGACAATAAGAACTCTACCGGTTGCATCGCCGTGCCTCGACCCCTCCGCAGTCTGCGCTTGTTGGCCGTCGCAAGCTTGTTCGGGGAGCTTTGGCTTCTGACGATCACCATGCCTGTTTTTGCTGTGGCGTCTGCCTTTATACCAATGGCGCTGGCTAACAACCACACAAGGGAAGCATGGGCCGTGGGAATCTTGCAAAGAATGCTATAAACCACGGAGTACACCGACACTTCTTTCCCCAAGACAACCGCCAATGGTCGTGCTGGTCTGGTCTGGGGTAGATGGAGTTGACACCGACTGCACAACCAAGACATCCCACATGCACCCCAGGATTTTCATCCAGCTATCCGGGCTGTGACTGGAGAAAATCAACTGCTCGATGTTGATATCGCGGGGAAATCAAGACCATCTTGCCCGCCCGTCCAGGGCCAACCCGGTGCGGCAGACGGCAGTCATGGTCATGGCTCGTCTCCCAAAGTTCGCCATGCCGAGCGTTTCGCCCTTGCGAGGGATCTTCGCTATGTCGGCCTACCGTTGACAAGATCGGTCCAATCTTTGCGGCTCACACACCACCGTGGTCTGCTGCATACATAGAGAACGCTAAATCATTACACACATAATTAACGTTACCTCGACGGCACGCAAAAGCTACATTTCTCGAGCCATTCTGCCCCTCTTTGCCCGTTGCTCGTCGCTGTCGAGCTCTGACTGGCAACGTTCGTGTGTTCTGGACTTGCGGGGTCTACAGTTCGGGATGCCTACGGTACTCTCCCCTGCACTTTCCCCAGACCTTCCATACAACGCTGACCCTGACCCTGGCACGCCTTGAGTATGGAGATGCGGAGACGCGGCGATCGGTTTCGGACAACAAGCGGACTCATCTCACCGAAACGAACCTCTTATCTCTTTGCCTACCAACCACATGGTGGACTTGCATTTGTCTTTACCAACCAATGTCTTGTCTGGCGACGCTGATAGCGGCATGATACCTATTCGTAGACACACACGCACACAATGTCCGCCCATCCCAAGTCCGGAACGCACGTTTGCTGTCTTTCGTCACTCTCCCATGAACACCAGGGCGCATTACTTGGGCAATAGCTCGCAGGCAAAGGATTCCGACCCCCGGAGGCGCATAAGTCAAGACGCTGATTCACCCGGCAAACTCTGTTTTCCGCTTCCTCCCCACAGCCGTTTCTGTCAGTCAGAAACACGTCGCTCTTCACATGGAAAAAAGACACCGTCCAGGAACTGCAAACTCTGTTCCCTCATCCGTCGTCCCAGCGGGGTTTGATTTGAACAACATTCAATATTGGATGGCCTGAAGTATCCAGGCGTGCCAGGCTCGGAAAACGATGACCCTGTGGAATACGAAAGAGAGCCCACAGGCCCTACGACGACAAAGTAGGTGTTGCTCAAATTCTCTCCTTGCCGAAGCCCCCGTACATGGCGGGCAGAAAAACTCTCCTGGCAAACGAAAGCTCGAGCACACAGTCAAGATCACCACAAAATCTACTCGCATTCCATCATCAGCCAAGTCACTGGCAATAGGTGTAGTCTCCTCTCGAGACCCTGTAGCTTGTGATAGTGCAGCTTTCGGCTTCTCCAGTTTTTCCTTTCACTCTGATAAGGTAGCGTTACACTGCATCGAACGCCCCCTCGGACAAGAAGGGCTAGGAGACCAAGGACAAGGGCAGAAGAAGACAAGGGCGGTGCTAGTGCTTTGCCGCTAGCTTCCGGCATGTGAAAGAGACCAAACAAAGTCTCGATCCGACAGCGACTGCACCCCTACTCTGTACGGAGTGCTGCGTACTCTTTTCGCTTTCTCTCCGGTGTGGTTCAGACCCCCCTCCGTACTGCCACACCCCAGAGAGCCACCAACCTCTAGGTTTGAAGGCTCGCTCCCGGCTCCCCTTCGTCTCATCCCAATTCTCTTGAGCATACCTCTCCCGTCTGCCATGTCTCTGAAGTTTTGACTTTAGGTGTGCACCAAATCTTCCTACGCAATACCTGACATTCCGTTGCCGCATCATACAAAACCGCCAGGTTTCCATCCACACGACTTTTCCTGGTTTCCCCCCCGTTTATGTTTCCAAGTGTTGAAGGAGCGGGAATCGTCGACAGTGGGCTGGGTATTACAACGTTATCGAACGATCGGACCGCCGACCGAACGACAGTGACCGGATCGTACGACTCAGTCACCGGGACTTACTGGTCACACCCGGAGCCACCCTCCTGCTTCACCGAGAGATAAACCACGCACCGGCCAAATTTGAGGAAGCTGAGGAGATGTTGTGAACGAGAGGCTCATCGAGATATCAATCATCACGACCCCAAATCAAACGGCTTTTACGTCTACCAATCGCAGCCATGGCTCTCATCAACCCCGTATACGCCATCATTGTCCCCTTCCTCTTTCTCTTCACCATCCCGCTAGCGATATTTGCCGGGGTTACGACAACACTCGCCTTCACTGTGCTCATATTCCGAGTCATTCTCGTCTACTTTGATCTCGCGATATCTCTGCTCCCGTCGTACATTACCGGTCGTCCTAGGTATCTTTCTTATGCCTCCAAGGCACCAGGGTCCGGTAGTCCGTCACCGTCGCTAACGCCCACACGGCGTTCCGCCTCGCGTCGCGCAAGACGACCGTCCTCTGCCTCCGCCGTCTCCGTCGGCACAATAACACCCATCTCGGAATCAGGAGGCATCGGCTTATTCCCATCTGTCGGTATCGATCGGGATTATGAGGGTCTAGGTGGCTGGCGTCTAGGAAACGGAAACGATGATGAGTTGTGGATGACCATCAATTCACGTCTCGAGTTGCCCGATCGCCAGTATCAACGACATCACCACAGAAGCCCCAGCGGTGGACCTACCACTCCAGGTGGCGGCGATGGCTACCTCATGATGAAGGGAGGTCGCAACCGGAGCCCAGAAAGCAACCGAGGCGGGTATACTGCTATTGTGTCGCCCAACAGCTCAAGAGCACGGACACCGACCAACACGCACATTGCCTTTACAGCACTTGATGGTGTCGATGGCGACTACTTTCCATCATTATCCACCAAGTCGGTAAGGAAGGTTGCCGTGGCGTGAGAGAAACGATTGCTACTGGTGTGCCGGTGGATGACGAAAAGTGATCATTAATGGATGCGGAAAGAGAAAATCATGGTTCTTATCTCGACTCCCTCGCCACGAAGTTGACGAGAAAAGTATGCCCTCGAGAGTGGGTGGTGTAAGAGAGTTGTGTGGATCATTTTCCTTTGTCTACAGCCGGGATACAGGGCATGAATCAAGTCCCTGGGTCGGGCAATGGTAGGAAGGTCAGGTGGAATCGGGATATCCTCTATGAAGGACAGTCTCAGGCAAGGAATGGGAACATTGGCCCGGCGAGGCTATCTACGGACAGGATTAAGGCCAGGAACTCGGAGTCTGTAGGCATTTGGCTGTATCACTCTCAACAACAGTCCAGACGGACGATCATTAAATCAACAATGAAGAAATCATCAATTTGAATGCGGCCATCCGCTGTTGAAGAAACTGGATTTCATGTTCATATTTCATGTGAGTGACGGGCTGTGTTTTCCATCATTCATGGAAACGGGAATTATTCAGCTTTTGTAGAATCGTGAAGAAAAGTGTCTATTATTCAAGACGTGGTATCTGATCATAAGTCCAAACGCCGTCATCAAACCCAAAACAGAACCCAACCTCCCCTTTAAACCCCTCATTTACAAAGTCTGCCAAAAGTAATTGGCATAAAAGAACTTTGAAAACTTCTTGTCCATATTGACAACATGCACATCCCCCTTGCGATCATTCCTCACAACCGCGCGCGTGAACTCACCCGTGCCGCTACCGTCCTTCCCGTCGCGCTCAATCTCGATACCTAGGCTGCGGTACACTTTGAGCCGCAGCAGCACCTCGTCGTCGACGGGGTCGCGGCGGCGCGCCTGGTCGTCGGCGGAGCCGTCGAGGCCTTGGATCTCGAGCTCCTGCAGGCGGGCGTTGAGGTCTGCGGCCTGTTGGGCGAGGCGCTCTGCTTCCATTTCTGCGTCGGACGCCGCCTTTGCGGTGCGGAATTTCGTGGTGTCGAGGCGGGCTATCTCGGAGGCGTGGGCGGTGGAGGAGTGGGCCGAGGTCAGTTCTGCGTGTTGGGATGTCATTGTGTTTAGTTGGCGGGAGAGTTCTGTGGGAATGTTAGTTTGGTTCGATATTTCCATTGTTGCGACCTTGTTTGGAGGTGTTTGTGGTCTTTGGAGTAAGGAGTGGGTCGTGATTGTTGGGCGACAGGAGGCTGGCTTGTATTCTGGAGGAGACGTGAGATGGTGACCGGGACGTACTCTTGAGGGCATTCTCTGCCTCGCGGAGACGCAGCTCGCGGGCCTGTTGGAGGGTGGAGAGGGATTCATTGATGCGGGCGATGGCTTGCTTGTCTGGTTGGATGTTGAAGTTGTCGATCGTGTGCGAGATGAGCTGTTGGCGCGGAGGACATGTCTCCCGTTAGCGATTCGCTTCTCCGAGGAGAAAGTAGATGCCGTCAACAGTGCGGGATGACGGGGGAATGGAGGGGGCAACCTTACCGTCGCGGGCTCCTCTGCTAAAAGCATCTTGACTGATTATTTTGTGTTGTCTCCGTGGAAGATTGTGTAAGCGGCTAGACGGAGGTGCGTATGCGTGGGGACGTAGAGTCGTGATGTCGCGTTGTTTTCGTGGGTGGTGTTTGGTGTCGTTAATTGATTGACTTGGGTCGATGGATGGATGCGACTAGAAATCGTGCAGGTGGGATAAGGCACGGCAGAACGAACCAGCCTAAACCCAATACAGAAGTCCCCTAAACAAAAAACTGTCGCTGCCCGTCTGCCACCAGCTTACCTTATCGCACGGCATCACCCGGACGACAATCAGTGATGACTAAGTTTCTCACAGACAGTGACCCCTGTCACAGACTCAACAGCCCCACCTCAGCTCGTCTCCAGCAATCGTCATCCGCCACACATGACGCCGCCGTCGCCGCCGCCGCCCCAGAGTGGCCCGCCCGGAAGAGTCCCCACGCATCTTCAAATGTCAGAGCTTCAGCCACTCTTCCCCGATCCCGTTCTTCCCAGCTGTATGTAGCCTACCACCTTTTTCTCGATTTCTGCATTCAGCATCTTTCAACGCTTTGGCATCTTCAGCCCTGTCATACCTTGCAATCGTGACAGCTGCTTTCGAACTTTCACACGATCGAACAATCCATCCCACGACAACACTACGAAGTTGAGGACACTCATACGATCCATCAAAACAGAAGAAAATACCTTTACGCACGACGTTCCCATAGCCACGAGTCAACCGCATCATCGCAGCCATGGTTGATCTACCTTGTAAGTCGCCCTCCCCACCCCTCCTCTTCTATGCTGCGAACATGATGTCGCCGGGAAGTAATCCATAACTGATCATTTGCGCAGACGCCCTCGACGCGGAAACGTATGTCTTCTCATCTTCAAGGCCATCTCCCATCCCCGCGACACCCGCACATGCGAAATCATTGTGAACTAACAAGCCCTCCTCGCATCGCAGGCCCCTCAAGGCATCCGAGCTCCAGGTCCTCCGCGCCCAATATGAAAAAGAAGGCGACATGGTCGGCGTCCAAACCAAGTTCAACTACGCATGGGTACGATAGCCTCCCCTTCTCTCCCCCCCCCCCCCCCCCCCCCCCCACCCCCCCCCCCCCCCCCCCCCAAAGAAACCACCGCCCCAACCCAAGTCCCCCACCCCTCCCCAAGCCCCCCCCTTCCCCCCCCCCCCCCCCCCATGTAGCCGATGTCATACACACCCCCCCTCCCCAAAATCCCATACCCCATATCCATCTCCTTCTACCTTCCAACAATTGCTGACTCCTTCGCAAAAACAGGGCCTCGTAAAATCAGACTCCCGCAACGACCAACAACTAGGCGTCCGCCTCCTCTCCGAAATCTTCCGCGTCTCCCCCGAGCGCCGCCGCGAGTGCCTCTTCTACCTCGCCCTCGGCAACTACAAGCTCGGAAACTACGGCGAGGCCCGCCGCTACAACGATCTCCTCCTCGAGAAGGAGCCCGCCAACCTCCAGGCCTCCAACCTGCGCCAGCTCGTCGACGACAAGGTCGCCAAGGAAGGGCTCATGGGTGTCGCGATCATCAGTGGTGTTGCGGTCGCGGCGGGTGTGGTGGGTGCGTTTTTGGTGAGGAATGTTAAGAGGAGATAGGTGTGACGACCTGTGAGAGACAGAGAAAGAGAGAGAGAGAGTGGGATGGACTATGGGGTGTCGGTGTGAGGGGCGGGCACCTGAGATGAAGACGATGATGAAAAGGAGCGATTGCATTCGAAGGGGGGGGGGGCGAGGGGGATGTACAGGACGACACATGTGCGGGTATGGCTACGGCTGCATCGCGCACCGCTTGTGTCGAATCCTTTACTATCTCGTGCTTCTCCCTCTCAAGTATCTGGTAATGTGTATTTGTATGGAAGTAACGACGACGGCTATTTGTTTGACACCGGTGTACGGGGCGTATACACATCTCTATTCTACCTCACGAGCAATATACTTGCAACAGAAACGCACGCAATTCCTTCTGCATTGGAGTGACTGTTGGGGCGACCTTAATGGGATTGGGGTGAGATTGGGTATTGCGATACATCCTCTAGTGTGGTCACTTGAATCTGTTTGGATCTCTTGACTTCGCTACTAGCCGCTCATTCCAAAACACATGCATTTCACATTGGGACGGATACTGTCTATTATCATGCCGACTGCAATACGAGATTTTATCCTGCCTAACCCTCGCCACCAAGAGGAGGATGCCCGTCTGTTTTCCTGTGACAAGGTCCCAAGTATGTACAGAAGACGCCCTGCGGGTCCTAAAAGTCTGATCCACGGCGGCGCGGACGAGCTCAAGAAAAGAAATAACGGTCTCAGTGACCAATGCTAAACGCCGTCGACCCTTGTCGTAATTCGTGATATGCCTACCGGCCGCGTTGGAGCCGCGTGGCTCGCTCAAATCTTTCATTGGCAAACCACCCAGATCCATTCCGTTCCATTAATCAATGCCACAAGCTCACTGTCTCCGTCTCTCACGCGGGTTGCTGTCTCCCGAACCCGATCCTCGAGAAAACTGGTTTCTCAGCCAATTAAGCGGGCCGTGATTGGACCCGGCATCCTGATTACTGTCCTGGTTGCTGTCTTGACCTCTGTCCCAATTTCCAGACGAGGGACTCCGCTGTCTAGCTCGAAACACATCCGACTGGTGTCGGCGGAGGCTCGGGGGCGAATGAGAGTCTCGTCTAGCGGATCGGAAGCTGGGCATTCGACTCGTTTCCTGGGGACGTTGCGGATCACTGCGGCCGGTGCTGGAAGCCCCGTAGCGTCCATAGGCTTCATCGACAAATGACGACTGGGGTCTCGTGGAGTCGGCAGGAACCGGGGGGGTCGTGTCCATGTAGCTCGATCGAGGGGGAATCCCTCTCATCGAGTTTGCCCAGTGTCCCGGATCATTACCAGGCCAGAATGAGTCTTGGTGGCTCTCTGAAGAGCCAGACGCTGCTGCTCCAGGGTGGGTTTGCGAAGGGTTGTTGTTGTTGTTTCCGCCGTTGTTTGAACCGCTCGCATTGGAATTGTTGTTATTGTTGTTGTCATTGATGCTGCTGCTGCCGCTGGGCTCTTCAATCGGCGTACGGCATATGGGGCAAGTATTGTGCTCCTTCAACCACATGACGACGCACTGGTCGTGGAACCAATGCTTACAGGGCAGTACTGTGGCATCGTCCCCCTCCTTGAAGTCGTCAATGCAGATTGTGCACTCGGTCTTGCCGTCGGGGCCAAGCATCTCCTTGTCGACCTTTTTGCGCTTCAGCTTGCTGAGCGCATCTTCAGTCGCCGGGGGTGCCGCGTTCGATGCCGGGTTCTGCTCCATCAACTGAGAGATGATCCGGTCCAGGGCCTCCTGAGTGTACACAGCATCGCCGTGCGAGGCATTGGCTGGGTTGAGCATGTTGAGAATCTCATGGAGAAGTGTGGGCGCTTGATTAGGCGCCCGCTGTCCCTGGCCTGGACCCATTCCGGTCGGTTGAGGGGGTCCTGCTCCAGCTAAGACGCTGCTGAAGATACTAGGAAGTTGGTCAGCATTCGTTCTAATGGAAACGACTGTGATTCGAGGTCCAGGCGGTGGCTGGCCACGAGGTTCAAGGCTGACGTACGACTGGAAGGGGTCGCCTCCAGCTCCAGCAGGCGAGTTGGCTCCTCCTTGGTGAACATGGATGGGTCCAGTGGCGATCGTGAAGCTCGTGGTGCCTCCGGGACCTGTTCTCTGGAATGTGCGAACATTGCCCTGACCGCCAAAAATGTTTCCACCAGCGCCAAAGCCAGGAGGGCGAGTCTCGTCGGGAGGTCGCGGTGGCATGCCCATGCCGAAATCATTCACCATATCAATAAAGCGTCGAATAATCTGGTCGCCATCGTTCACGTCGGGGGGCTGGCGGGTGTTCGGGTTTGGGCTCTGTCCCGGGCGCTGGGAATTGTCCCAGATGGCTCGGTGTACGACGAATCCGCCTGGGCCGCGGTGCAGATGCTCCTCTATATCGGCCTCTTCAGGATCCGAATCGTCGTCGTAGATGTGACGTCTGAGTCTCGGGGAATCGTGAAGAGGAGGCCCGTCCTCGATCTCTCTAGGGTCGTTCTCGGGAGAAACCTGGGTGTATGTCAGCAGATGTGGCAGGAGGGGGGCAGTGGATATATATCGTACAATCTCTGTAATCTCGCTTTCGCAGCGAGGGCACTGCAGACCATGCTCATCTTGCCACCACTCATGGGAGCAGGCGTGACAGTAAACCACCTCTCGGCCATCCGTGGCAACCAAGTGCCCGCCTCTTGGGGCGTGTGAGTCCATCTCGGCCTGGTTGCTATTATAGGCGGCGAGGGCTGTTAGACCAAGGCCTACAGCGAGGCCGGCAGCGCGAAGAGCTCGGAACGCCAGACTGAATGATTTATAGAGTCGTTTGTTGGTGGCAGAAGCTTGGGTATGGGCAAGAGTTGCGCTGTTGTCGGGTGACTGGCGCTGAAGCTCTTGTGCAGCTTCGACTGCTTGTTGATAGTAGCCAAAGGTGTGGATCAGAGTGGAAAAGAAGGCTGTCGAGGAATGGCCAAAGTTGGGGCAGGCGCAATGCAAAGTTGGTATTGGTGTACGCAGTAGAGAGCAGAACGTCAGCCGAAGCGATGTTGGGGTCGTTATCGGTGGAGAACGGAAGGTGCGGTAGGACAGCGTTGTAATCTTAGGTCGGCAGGTACCTGGCAGGTGAGAGCAGCGTGGAGAGTGGAAAGCCTAGAGTGCACAAGGTCAGTAACTCAGCCTGCTTGAATTTTACGGAAACCCCAAAAGGCATATAACCAGTGAAGAGTAGATGTGAGAGGTGTGTGCTATGAGTTGTGTCTTTGGCATGTAATTCGGGTCTGTGACCGGCTGCCGCTTTGGGGGTGGTGGGTGATGGAGCTGGAGAATGGAACCAGAAAGACGTACCTGAGCTAAGCCGAATAATGGAGCATGCGCATATCTCCAATCGTAAGGTCACAAAAGTGAACGGAAAAGGACCGATCGCCACTGCTGCGGAGTAAGGTGCGAGGAAGAAAAGGAAAAAGGCAAAAGGAAAGGTGGTGGTGGAGGAGAGGTGTGAGGGTGTTGGGTGAGGTTGTTGGGATCACAAAAAGAGAGGCCCGCGGCACTGCTCAAGCTCGGGATGATGCGGTGGACAGTGAGTGGACTGGAGAAAGAAAGAGTGCAAGCGCACCCGTCACGTCAGTTAGCGCTGCGCTGCTAGGCTGGGGGAGGTACCTTTTCACCGGAAGACGTGACGTGATGGTTGTAGTGGGGGTTATTTCCCGGCTTAGTAATCTTGCATTGTCCGGAACACCGCCACGAGCCACAACGGCATTGATCAGTGTCTCCACTTTTAAGCACCTCTCACCTTCTACCGGCTTCGGTGTGGCAGTGCGTCTCTTACCACCCATTACATTGCATCACCACCTCGCACCAAGTCTTCCGACATTCCCCAAGCAGGTATGACCCCTCGCTACAGGTGGAAATCATAACCTAAACACTTACACCACATACCTTATGGACACTGTTCCAGCTGAAAGAGTGTGGCTTGGAAGGACTGTCAATAACCGTTCATTGCCTCGGGATCAACCCCAGCCGAGTTGTGTGTACTTGATACTCACGCTCAGGATGTCTTTATTCAACTGCAGTAACCCCTTCCGGTAAAAAGATGCTTTGCAAGGGTATCAACTCAGGAGCCCTCATCCATATAGCTTCTCAGTCTCGCTTGTGCAAGAGCGTCTTCCATCGCCCGCTGTTCCTCAGCTCTCCTATCCCAATTCCAAGTCGGCGCCCTTTTTGCCCCCGCCGGACTCATCTCCTCCATGAGCTTGACGACATCGTGGTGCTTTCGACTCGTGGCCAGTTGCCGACTAGTCTGCCCACTCGTATCCCAAGAATCCGGATTCGCCCCGGCCCTGAGCAGCAACATGGCCGCCTCGACATTATCCCTCCAAAGGGCCACAAACAACGGGGGCGACGAGAACCGTCCGCCTCTCTTGTTGACGTCGACCTTGTACTCAGGTCTCAGTATCAACTGCAGGACAGACGTCATGTTGAACGACGCGGCGTAGTAGAGCGGTTCCGTGTGCCGAATGACGTCCAGGTCCGACGAGCGCAGGACGAATTGCACCCACGCCTCAAAGGCCCCGCCGTGCGAGAGCTTCTTGGTGTCGAAGAAGTCGAGGATGAGCTTCTCGTCTTCGTCTGCGAGGGGGAAGCGCTCAGAGTGGATGGGCCACATGTTTGTAGCGTAATTGAGCAGCGGGTAGGCTGCGAACCTGGTCTTCACGTGCCGGAGCTCGTCCAAGGGGCCTGTGGTGAAGGGCTCGAGTCTGAGGTAGGCGAGGCACTTGCGCATGATCTTTTGGTGACAGGCGGCTGCGTCCAGCGCGTATTCCGAGGCAGAGGAAGTTCGTATCCATTCTGATTGTAGAAATGTGCGGATGGAGTCGTGGGCGAGGGTGACATGGTGGTCGCTTACGTGGGCTAGGTCCTGGCAGATCTCGATGATGGCAGAGGGGTCGGTGAGTCGGTCGTCATCGTCAATGTCAACTTCGTCACCTTCGAGGACGATAGCTTCGGCGAGCTCGTTGAGATGAAGCGGCCGGAGAGAGAAGCAGAGCCAGGCAAGAGCCTCGCGGGCCATGACCCGGTCTTGTTGGGGTACACGGGTGAGGATACCGGCGTAAAACCCGTTGAGTGTAGACGGGATATCGACCAGAGCTCGTCGTACGTCTCTTCCAGTGCGGAGGGTGCTGAGTCTATCCATGCATAATTTGGCCCATCGAAATCTGCCGCATTGTAAGTCTTGACCACAACGGAGTCCAGCCAGAATACTCACGTCCCATCGGCTTCTGATGTGACCTTGTCCTTGATCTCGGTTCGTATTTTCGCACTCAAGGACTGGAAACTGTGTTCGCTCGAAAGCCTTTTCTCCACATACACCTCGATATCACAATCTATAGACTGTGTGCTCATATGTCGGACGTATATGCTGGGCTCAAGCTGCGCCGGCTCGCGCGTACACGTAACCAGGACCCTTAGGTTAGAGTGCTTCGAGCAGAGGTGCAAGAGGGCTTCGACAATGACAGATTCTTGGCTCGTCTCATTGAGAGCGTCAATCATGAGATAGAAGACATCAAACAGCCCGAGAGCTTCGCCCATCACGTCGTGAATCTGTTCGACGGTCAGGTTGTTCTGCGGGATCAGGTTGTTCCCCAACTTCCTCAGTGGCCGGACGTGATCGAGGATACTGGGATTCGTCGCTCCTATCTGGGCCAGGATGGAGCCAAAGACGTTCGGCACGGCTTGGGATGCCGCGTCGTCTAGAGAGCAGCAATGAAAACCGACGCCTATGTTGCCGTTCTCTTCCGAATTCTCATCGCCAGGGTGTGCTCTGAGGTCCTCAACGAGCCGCGAGCTTGTCTCAGTCAGTACGGCGTAGGCAACGAGAGAGTCTTGTTTATGCTTACAAAAGCACCGTCTTGCCGGATCCTGCTGTTTGTTGTGTCAATGGGATGCTGCACAGACTACAAATATCGGCGACATGACTTACACCTTCCAGTGATCCAGAATACTGGCCGATCAGTGGGAGTGCTTCTTTGCCATTTTAGGAACGTCTTATCGACTATCCATCTGCCAGTGCCCGGCGCGCGATCCTGCCTAGAACTGACAAGCTTGTACTCACTATCGACGGGCGAGAGCCACATGAGCAAATCAGCCGTCTCCTCCAGCATCCGATCCGTCTTGCGCGCAATAATATCCTCATGCACAAGCGCCGTCAGCTTCTGCATCTCTGACAACACAGATGCCGTAGTATCGAGCGAATCCCGCATCAGGACCATGATGAACCAGGTCTTGGCTCTCTCAATTGTAGCAAAATATGTCTCAACATCACCCTGCCGAAAAGGCCAGGCCAGACTCTGGGCAGCGCGGCCCAAGGACGACGTCTTTGGCGTACCGAGCTTCTTTCGTATGGCGTCGAGGGTCTCCTGAGTCATCTTGAGCATGGCGCGGGCCTGCTCCTGTAGGGGATTATCCATGCCACGCTCGTTTTGTGTGTGGAAGTGGTCCATTGCGCCTTTGAGGGCGAGGAGCTCCTGAGTGAGCTTGCGGATGTCATCTTTGGCGGATTTGACAGCCGAGATGTATTTGCAGAGGCGCTCGACTACTTCAGTAATGCAGAGGGCGACCTCTATTACGGTTAGGGCTTCGGCCATTGGGTTGCCGCATTTAGCACTTTGATGTAGGCTGCGACTCAGAAGTATTGTGTTTGCGGGTAGAGGCCATAGCTCCGGGCCAAGGTTTTTCGAGTTTGTGTGGGCAGAGAACCGCCAATCTGTGACAACTTGTGGCAGACGATGGTGGCGGCGTCTAGGCTTTTTCTCGACAACGGAGCTCAAAAATAATAGTAAGGCTGGAGCGCCTGATAGTCCAGGGTCAATCGACAGACGTCAGAACCGAAAGCCAGGTGAGTATTCGGATCAAAGTATCGGGAGTCCAAAGTAACGGGAGTTCTTCAACATTCGAGGGCCGTTCCGCGGCCGGGGAAGCCCCGCGCGCACGGATCAAAGTGAAGGTGGGGGATGAGGGTTGGTGGGGGTTGTGGCACGTGCACGAGCTTAGCGAGACCTTAAAATGTCTTGCGCTAGCGGATCTCTGCAGGGACTCGGGTGAAGAGCATCATGTCTCTCTGCGGTTTCATTGAGAATGGTATGATGAAGCAAATTGCCATGAACATGTCCGAGTCTGCTGTTACTTGCCGAGAAGTTCCCGACTTCAATAACATACTTACCATGAGTACTCATCTTCGAGATATGAGTTGCTTAAAACATACTTAAGTAAGGATAGAATACTGCGTGAATGATAGTAAGGAGTCCTTGACACTTCCAGGTGGACGTTTCGACACCTTAACATGTCTTTATTCCCAAGCTCATGTAAACAAATACCGGTGACTGGAAAGTCATTTGCATCTTACAACACGTCTAGATTTGTCTACAGCTTAGACTCCTAGTAGTGTTGCTGCTACGGATATACTACGAGTACAGTGGAAACCCCACTACGCCAGCCGCATTACAGGATAACTAGGGTATCCCTTTCTTCCCGGCTCGCCTCCCAATTCGTGGAGCTGCGGGCCGCGGAGGTATTCAAGTCGTCCCAGCCGTCAGGACTCTGAAGGTGAATTGTCAGCAAAACTCTTTTCCAAGTTTTTCTTCAATTGCTCATTTTCTGCGACCAACTTGCAGTCACGGGCACGCGGGAGAGACTCATCAGCTGGCCCCTGTTGAGACTACCTTACCTTGTGCAGTGCAGTACAGTATGACGAAAAGGCAAGCATTTTCTTTCCCTCAACAACCTTATACTCCGCCGGCGGCCTCACGCAGCAACCCGGCATCTGATTCCACATTGCGCCGGAACAAACGTGCCTAGGCCGGATCTACCTCTCCACTACCGCAATCGCCTGTTGGCCTGCCGCAACCCAAGTTAATCCCAGCCTCTGTGCATTCCGGCCATAGGTAGTCGTCAAGTCAAACATTTTGGATTTCTCATCACACTTTCCAGAGACCCGGAACAGCAATAGAAGCCGCAGTGCTTCTCCCACCGGCGCCGGCGCGAACTTTACTTATCCGCTTCGGCCCCCTTTCGAGCCGTCCAATTGCCCCTCCCGCCTTCTCAGCGTTTCCTTAACGCATTGCGGCTTTTAAGCAACACCTCACCTCACGCATAAGTTGCCTCAACCCGAGCATTTTCTGGTACGTAATATGCAAGTAGTCAATTCGCATATGCAATATTGTGGTTAGTCCCCCGAACTGCCCGTGGCTGAGATGCGCCAGCGTCACCTTTGCTCCAAGACATGTGCTGCTTTCTCGCCCAACCGTTATTCTCAGTCATCCTTTCAGTGAGAAATCTCACGTTCTGATGACCGTGTACCAGACAACTCATAAGCGCCCTTATAATAACCAACCCAAGGCTGACTCGAGGCTGCAATATCGTCCAAAGAGCACAGCTGCTTCAAAACCGATGAGATAGCGGCAGCCCACCAGTCTTTAAGTATTATATCGTCATCAAAGGCCAAGCCTCGATAATCGACTCCCTTGGCTCGTTATCAGGCCTCGCGCCAACTCGCACGCTCTGCACGCCCAATAGCCTGCCGCTTCTTTATCTCAACGACAGGGTACCTTCAACATCGACGGAGAGGTGAGACGCCCGCAGCCCGCGAACCACCCCTCCACACCCCTCTCTCTCTCTCCACGGTTCTCGCTCCCGTCCCTGCGGTACCCCCTCCTTCGGCATCGGGTATCGCTGTCTTGCAGCTCTTGATTCTTATTGCTCCGGTGGGGGCCCTGGGCTGTCACTTCAGCTTGCTGCCGCCCGTCGCATCCACCCCGTCTCCCGGGGACTTGCTGTCCCCATCTGATTTCCACATCTCCGCGCACCGCATCAAAGTTGGACTCAGCATCTCCGGTCGCTCACCTCACCACTTCCGGTGCGTCAACGTCATCTCATTAGTTCGGAACTCGGCAGCCAGAGACGTGTCTTGGAAAGATGGACGATCAAGATCTCCTTTTGTCGTCCACATCCGGCGGCTCCCTGACCAATCCCCCGGAACAGCCCTCTTCATCATCCTCGTCCGCACCACAACCACAACCACCGGCGGCCAAGAAGAAGTCGTCGCGCAGAGGAGGCGATTCGGCGTCACAGAAGCGGCGCTGCGTGAGCACAGCATGTATCGCCTGCCGCCGGAGGAAATCGAAATGCGACGGAGCCGTGCCCAGCTGCGCTGCGTGCGCCAGCGTTTACGGCACCGAGTGCGTCTATGACCCAAACTCGGACCACCGCCGCAAGGGCGTCTACAAGGAAAAGGTCGATAGTATGAAGGCGCGCAACTCGACACTGCAGATTCTCATCGAGGCCATTCTCAACGCAAACGAGGATGAGGTCCCCGACATTGTGAAGAGGATCAGGACCTGCGACAGCCTTGACACTGTCGCTGAGCAGATCTTGAAACATGAGACTATGCTCCAGGAAGCCGAGGATAACGACAATGGAGACGACGGTTACACGATCGACATGCCCATCGAGGGTGAGAGGGAACTCGCTCGCAAGATGGGCGAACTGCGCCTCGAGAACGGCTCAGTACGCTTCATCGGAGGCACATCACATCTCATCTACCTCGGCGACTCAGGCGACGCCAACACAAACGAACCCGAATCCGACGCGAATCTCACCAATGAGGACCCCGTCACCAGCTGGACGAGAGTTACGCAAGATAAGGAACTCATCGCCCACCTCATGAACATGTACTTCAACTGGCACTACACATACTTCACGACACTATCAAAAACACTATTCTATCGTGACTTCTTCAAGGGGAAGCACGGTCTCAACTACAAAGGCACCATCTACTGCTCACCACTCCTAGTCAACGCCATGCTATCCCTCGGATGCCACTTCACCAGTGTGCCGGGAGCGTACGGGACGCCGGGGGACAGCCGTACAAAGGGCGACCATTTCTTTGCCGAGGCGAAGCGTCTGATTGTCGAGAATGATGAGTACGAACGGCCCAAGCTCACGACCGTCCAGGCTCTGGCGCTCATGTCCGTCCGGGAGGCCGGCTGCGGGCGGGAGGCGAAAGGCTGGGTGTACTCGGGTATGGCTTTCCGCATGGCCCAGGATATTGGCCTCAACTTTGACGACGGCGGCATGTCTAATGACAAGGAGAATCTCGGCGAGCACGCCGTCGACGCAAGGCGAATGACGTTTTGGGGGTGCTTCCTCTTCGATAAGGCGTGGTCGAACTATCTGGGTCGCCTCCCGCAGATACCCAAGAACTCGTACAACGTGCCCAAGTACGACGTCTTTCCCTCTGAGGATGCGGAACTGTGGGCGCCTTATACGGATACGGGGTTCGATCAGACGTGCAGTCAGCCGTCGAGGACGCGAGCCGTGGGGTTACAACTCTCGAAGCTTTGTGAGATAAGCAGCGATTTACTTTTATTCTTTTATCATCCAAATCACATTGGCCGCTCGAGTGGGAAATCGGTGGAACTCAAGAAGCTGAGCGAGCTTCACCGGAGGCTGGAGGACTGGCGAAAGGAACTACCAAACGAACTGGAACCAAAGGAAGGACAACTCCCTAACGTAATCCTCGTACAGTAAGCCCGCCACCACACTCTTCAACAAACTCACGATACTAACATTATCCCAGCATGTTCTTCCACCTCCAGTACATCCACCTCTTCCGCCCTTTCCTGAAATATACACCCGCAGCCTCACCCCTCCCATCTCACGTCTCCCCACGCCGCATCTGCACAGCCAACGCCGGCGCAATCTCCAAACTCATGCGCCTCTACAAGAAAAATTGGAACCTCCGGCAAATCTGCAACATCGCCGTCTACATGGTCCACAGCGCCTGCACCATCCACATGCTCAACCTCCCCGAGAAGACAGCCAAGCGCGACATCATCCACGGCGTGAAGCATCTCGAGGAAATCGCCGAAGACTGGCTCTGCGCGCGCCGCACGCTAAGCATCATCAGCGTGCTGGCGCGAAAATGGAACGTCGAATTGCCCGAGGAGGCCGAGGCCGTGCTGCGGAGGACGGACGAGACGTACGGCACGTTTAGTACCTCTGACGTACCGTCGCCGAGGTCGAATCTCACTGTTGCGTCGTCGCCTTCGCCGACGCAGGGCCCTGTTTCGCCGGTGATGGGTAAGCCGGATCAGTATAGCCCGCTTAACCAGTTTGCGCAACCGCAGACTGGCGAGCAGGATGTGGCGCCTAGTCCGACGGATCTGCTCATGGCGAGCGCGTCTCTTGCGCAGATCAGCGGCGCGAGACCGCCCTCTCATCAATCTCACAACGGAATGGGCATAGGACCCAACTCTCTAGGCGGCTGGTCCCAAGCCGGCCTCGCCCAGTCGATACCGACATACCAACAGCAACAACGTTTCACACCAATGAACAACAACCTCGCCCCATCACAGACATCCCGCGCCGGACCCGGCAGCGCGTCGCGGCAGCAGCAACTATCCCCCGGCCAGGTCTTCCAAGGCCTAGACCAGGACTGGTTCCTCAACGACGGCGCAAAGTGGCACCAGAACTTTGAAGCGTGGAACATGGCCACGTCTCAGCCCGGCGGCGGAGGCGGAGGCGGGATGCCGGCGAGCGATCAGATGTTTATGTTTTCGAGCGGGAGTGGGGGTATGCAGCCGCCGCCTCCGCAATCGCAGCCGCAGCCGCCGAGGCAGTCGTCTGAGGATACGGCGAGTCCTAATTTTGAAGGGTTGAATTCATTGGATACCCATGGGTGGTTGCCGGGGCTGGATTAGGACTTGGAGTTCCATTGTAATCTACCTTCCCAGCAACAGACTTATGTGCGGCCCTATGAATTGAGAATAGATGAATGAATGTAAGAACAACGCCGCGTCTTCCATCTTAATTTTGTGCCACTATGCGCTCCCAAGATTGAAATCTCCGCGACTTGGAGAGGCTTGATTGATTTTCAACATGACCCCTGACCAGGATTTGGCTGGGCCGTCTTCTAGTCCGCAGGCATTTGCATGACCGATCTCTCATTTCGAGGCTCCTTTGTCCTCTTGAAGAATGAAGCGACGGGACTGTTCATCCCCTTACCACGTCCAAGTGGACAAGGTTAGCCATGGCAGGTTATATAGACCAACAAAGACTCATGAACAGCGTTATATCGATTTCAGGAATCATCGAGGTGGACAAAGTCTGAGGTGCTTAAACAAAGAATCCCGGCAGACCTGTCCATTTACAAACTTGAACATATATTTCGGTCTTGTTCGCAATTTCCCAGCTGTTTCCTAACCCTCATCAACTTCTCGCGCTGCCAAAGATGGCGCCACCGCGTACTAGCAAAGCGCTTACTTCAAACAACACCAATTGCGCAGCAACGACGGAGAAAAACTTTATGGAACCGGTTCGTGTGGCACCCTTGGTGGAAAAAATGCTTATTGTCTTCCAAACAATTGACTACCATCTTCGCGGTCGAACACTCGACTTCTTCTATGAGGAGCACGACTTAGGACAAGCTTACAAAAGACTCAAAAGATGGTCGAACGACTACAAGGTTCCTAATGGATACTGGGATAGCTATTTAGAGATATATAAAAAGCTGCGATGCCTTACGCTTCGGAAATTGAACAGCATTGCAAGAGTTCTTTGTTCGAGTAAGTGGTCATGCAGCTGCCGGAACACTCCAGGAGTTGCCTATTGACTCGAAAAGAACATGAAGCTTACCATCTCATCCTCATACATAGGACTCGCGGATCCGTCACTTTGGGCTGTGTGGGCACAGCAGAGGCCTTATGACTATCTCATCACCAAGGTCAGGGAACTGCGTGAAGAGATGGACAGGACCAAAGGTGCCTACTGCGATCCAGACTGCGGAGCTTTGGTACCGCTACACTGGACTGTGACGAACGAAGATGTCCGTCCTAAGATTACGGAACTTGCAGACGACCCAGCCGTGAAGCATTGGATTACACTGAATGACACTGCGCTGGATGACACTGTCAACCAGGTTATTGCAAAGTTGATAGAGAAGCAAGGCAGCGAGTGGAAGGAGGTCTGGGTCAAGGCGGTACTGAATGAGTTTGGTCAAATCTATGAAAGTATAGTCAGGGATATTGACTATTTGGAGGGGTTGTGGAAGTTGAAAACGATTCTGCCCGCCGACACGGTCGGGGAAAAGCAGCATCCGGTGTCATTCTTTCGGAGGTGCCTCGGACGCCGAAAGTAAAGACTTCTCGCAAAGGACTGAAGGTAGCAGAGTTCGTAGTAGTAGCTATTGGTATGTTCCCGTTTTGTTTTCACATCATGTGCCTACTGTTGCCACGTATTTGTTTACTTGACGGACACTCTTGTCGGCTCCCGTCTCGGAAGGATCGTCGCATAGCCTACGTGGAGGATGGAAAGAGAATATATTACGATGCGCTTGTGAATGGGTCTGTGTCTTATGAGTTCAGAATAGCTGGGAACTTGAGCCATGTCATCAAAGAATAGAAGTCTCCCGGGACCCTGTGGACCGCTCACGGTGCGAACGAAAGTTGTACTGCGCGAGATAGGTTCAACTTCGAGGACCGGCTTGTTGGGGAGATCTCACCTCGAGACAGCTTAGTCCTCTTTTAGTCTCTTATGGGTACTTTGGAGGCCCTTGGGAGAACAAGAGTTTGTCAAGTCATAACTTCCATATTGACTCGAATCTTTTCATCACCGGATCTGGTGGTCTCTGCAAAGCAGCTTCATGGGAAGGGAGGACGCGACGTCATCAAGAAACATTCCTGAACATTTCTTGAGGTTGAGGAAGACAACAATACCGTGAAACAATGTAATGACGTCTTCCCGTGGTCTTGAAGGTTGTGGACTGCGGGTATGACTTGTCCTACCCGGTCGCAGCCCAAACGTCAATTCCCTCAGGAAGCTGTCCAACATCTTCAATCATCGCTGACATCCAGTGTCTTGATCATATCGCTCAACTCGCAAACCACGCTCTCGTATACAGCCTGCTGCAAGCGCGGCTTCAACAAGTCGTCACCGAATCCAAAGTCACACTCCAGACATTTCCTGGTGAGGTCCCTGTACTTCGGACCCAAAGTAGGGACCTGCCGCGACAGCCTCCGAACGCTGAGAACGTCTTCCGGGGCCTCTAGGCTAGACCACCGTCCGATCTGAAGCAGAGTGATACCGAGACTCCAAAGCGTCAGGTTGCGTATACCGTACTCCAACTTTGCGCGCTCGGCAGCGCTCTCTACTTCGTTAGGGCTGCCGTCGCTGCTGTCCTGCACGGCCGTCGCCTCTATTCCCTCCATGCTTCGTGGTAGGCTTGCAGCGGATGACTGGACAAAGTCGAAGCCTAGATGGAGGGTCCGAAGGCACCTCGAAAAGTCCCCGCTCATCTGAAAGAAGGAGAGGTCCCGTAGGGTGAAGTACTCTCTCAGCCACGGCGTGGAGTAAAATTTGAGAACCGCGCTCACCATGTCACGAGCCAGCTTTAGTTGGTCGATAATGGAAAGCGTGGTCTCGGCAGGAGTCATCAACACGTCGTTCATTGACATCAGAGCTTGAGATGTGGTCATGATGTGGTTGTGATTGTCCACAGATCCAGGGTAAATCGAATGCCGGAATGGATCTTGCGATGAGCTGTCAATGTACCCTAGGCATTGATCGCTACAAACCCCTTCTGAGGCAAAGTTGAAGACGCTATTCAAGGCTGGGCATAGACCCTTTGAGCACAAGTTGACTGATGAGCCCTGGCGATGGTTCACGCCCCTCGTTGCGTCAAACTCATCATCTTCTTTGCCGGCCTCTTCTCGCACGTCTTCCGAAAAGCGGACCTTTCTTCGTTTCTGCCGGGGTCTTTCGTCTGGATCAGGTACGCCTGACGTAGAGTTGTCGGTTTCAGCAATCCACGTCCGTATCTGTGATCGCACTAGAATTCTAGCAAGTCTTTCCTGTACCACCGTTCTATGATCTTCAGCATACTACCCGGAAGGTATAAGCACTAGGAACGCTCACCTATCAGTAAGCTCATGGCCCATGCAGGATATAGCAACATGCATCTGAACATCGTCTTTGACCGTGGTATCCAGAAACAGTCGAACAGTATGGCGCATGCCGAGTACCTCGGTGGAAGTACTCGAGGTAGACCAAGCTTCGGCAAGGGCTTCGTGGAAGGCTTTCGACGCTCTCCTGACTTGACCGATATGCCCGTATTCTTGGCTTAGTTTCCCAGGAGGTTGCTTCGTTGCTATGAGCTCATTCTTATTCCGTCTCAGCTCACTCCTCTGCTCTCGGATACGTTTGAGGTCGTCGATGGACGCTCGCAGATCTTGGATATGTTTCTCGAACCTGGATTCGTCCAGTGAGATTTTCACCCGTCCGCGAAGCCGACGCACAGCATCTTTGAGACTTTCACCCTAGAATTGTGATGGCATGTCAGTTCTCTCTTCTATCATTCTCGTATGCCATGTTCCACTTGCCTGTCGGCACTCTGCCGTGAGTCCGTCGAAGCAGCGGAAGTCGTCCTGAAAGCTTTGCGCCGCGCCGACGATGTCTTCAATCACGCCCTGGCAGACATCATAATCCTCATCGAGTGCTTTTCTCATCTCTTCCTCAATCTGAGAGCTATGCCATTGTTGAGTGTTCTCATTCTCAAGCATTGAGGCGATCGTCTCTTCATTCTCAACAGTTCGTCTAAGCAGCAGGTGTATCTCATTCGTAAAGAAGTTCAGTTGACGGTCAACTTGCTTTTGGATGCGCCGGACTTCTCTCGAGTAGTGTCGAAACGTCTTGAATTTCTTGCGGACAACAGAGCATGCCTTGATTGCTCCGCCGACCAACGGCAAGAGGCCCAAAGTCAGAGAGAATGGATCCATTTGCACATCCGTTTCAGATCTTCCAGTTCATGATTCTATCCTAGGAATGTGTTCTTTTCTACCACCTCAAAATGTAAAGATCAGGCTGTTGACACCAGGTCTGGCATAACAGGCGGCAAAAGGCGTCAGCTCATTGGTTAAAGCACCATTGCGCCTCAAGGAGGCAGGCTGGCGATTATGTTGGAACATGTTGTTACCCCGCTCGCACTTTCGCCGTCACTGCCTTATCCACAACCACGTCTGTCGATGAAGAAAATGGATTCTTTGAATCTCAAGAAAGAAGGAAACGTTGACACGAGCTATCTCATCCGGTTGTTCCTAAATGCGGCGGCCGGAGAAACACCACATGTGGGTGCTAGCCTTGTTGCACGCCTGACTGAAGGAACGGTCGCCGTGTTTCAGGACATCAACAAATATCTGATCGACAGATTTAATGGAATTTCAGAATCACGATCATACTCTGTTAGTCTTAGAAGAAGCTCCGACAGACTTCAGCTCTGGTCAGACGGATATGGGATTTCCAGCGCAGCCTCCGATGAAATCTTCGATCGATCTTGTCGGTTACGAGGTGCAACGCTTGAGATTCTATGCAGTATAGGGTCGACTCTCACTGAAAGTAAGTCTGAAGTTCGCCGAGTAATATTTCAAATCGAAGTTGCACCGAAGCTAATTGTCGTTGTCCAACATTTAGGGCTCGTAGCATCAACTTGGGCGACAGGCCTTTTAGGAAAGACACAACTTTCAGAAAGCTTTACGAACAAGGTGGAAAACTTACGGCAACTGATACAAGAAGCCGAAGACGACCTTTCAAAGAGTGAATCTTCGACTGGATCATCAGAGTATGATGATGACGATATCGCGCAAATTACCGCAGATCTTGAAGCAGACACCAGAAGTTTGATGGACCTCGATAGCTTATTCTCTGAACCCATCTTTGATATTGAACACGCGAGGCAACCCCTTGACTCGTCTTGGCACAAGTGGAAACCGCACGAACCTTACAGACAACTCATAGGCAAGCAATTTCCCAAAGCGAATGAGGAGCTCGTCACCAGTCTCGGGAAGGCCAATTATGAGCGATTCTTGAGAGGCAAAGAGCAAAGGGACAAGAATTTTTGGGCATGGTGTGAGGATCCAAAGGGACCTCGGCTGATGCATCCGAGTGAGATCAAGGGTTTGGAACCTACGAGCTCTAAGTTCACAGATTCAGGCCTTGGATCATCTATTCCTTCATCTTACGCCGAGACAATCATGTCATACCACGGCGGTGAAGGGACCTCAGTACGCTTGCCGCCTCTACCCAGGAGCTCCAGGGGTGGGTTTCTCTGCATGGCGTGCGGTAGAGCGACTGCTGTGGAAAATAAGTCTGCATGGAAACGGCACTTGTACAACGACTTGATGCCTTGGCAATGCCTAGAACCCTCGTGTGGGCATCTGGGTGTCTTCGGCACTCGTGAAGATTGGGTCTCACACCTCGCTCTCGACCACTTTGGGCCCGAGTGGAAAGAATCCGAGTGTCCGCTATGCCGGAAAGACACCGGTTGTGGCAAGACTGCTATTCTAAGTCACCTCGGAGGTCATCTTGAAGAGATCTCTCTTGCGGCTCTCCCTTCAAACCCTGATTCGGACACAGAAAGCCAGCCATCGAACACCAGTCAGCAAGATAAAGTTGCTGGTAGTGATGCCGAGGAAATCAACTCAGCCGCAGGGATCATGGTTGTAGAGTGTCCTCCTACTCATCCAGATGATACCCAAATCTTTGAGATGACACGAGAAGGGCCAGTCACTCTTGAAGAAGTCGCAGACTATCTTGGGGAAGTTATGCGCCAGGGGCCTAATTTTGAAGACGAGTTTCTCCATCTACTGCAAAATTATGAATTTGATATGTAAGGCACAAATTTCATGTCCTCTCCGTTAACACGCTGTTGTTTACTAAATTAATATTCTCACAGCATCTCGACCCAAGAATTCTACGTCAGTATGAAGAGTATTCTTTCTAATCGCCCTGACTTCAGGGGTCGTCCATGGTCTGAGGAAACCTTTCCCCATGATCAAATGAAATTGAAGTTGAAGCTGCCCGATAACTAATCTGTGTCTCGTTCAAGAGACACTTTGCCGGGGTTTCAACGTCGAATTTGCCCGCCAGATATACGCGGCTGAGAGCGGGAGCTTCAATCCGTCTACATCACATGGGAGGGGGAATAGGAGCCGTTTCAAAGATTGATCAATGCAATGATACGTCCTCCAAATTATGATATTTTCTAGAAGTCAAGGGACTAATGTTTAGAAGGAGGGAGTGAAGAGAGATGAGTGGTAACTGCTGCTATAGCAGTTGGAGGATTTTCTTCTAGTAATTTGAAGTGAGGCGAGACACTGATACCAAAGAACCAGCTCGGCTTTTGCCCAAATTATACTATGAACACACACTCTGTCTACTCGTTGCTGCACCAAATAAGAGATGTTGCTTGCACAAAAGTTGAGGTGGGCTGTAGGGTAGTACGCATGTAGACGAGAGCCGGGATATGCTACTTCGCCATTTCAATGTCGTAATATGAATGTTTCTGAGCCTGAGCTGACTTGATTCTCCGTAGAATCAAGTAAAAGCAGAATGCCTAGGATCCATGATACTACAAACTTCAAGTTCCCGATGCTCTTATCTCACTACTTATATCGTGTTCCTCTGCGTAACTTTCTCAATCACTTTAATGCCCCAGAACCAAATGGTAACATGACTTCACGATACAAGAAAGCAGTGTGGTCTAGGTATACTATCCTGCATCTTCCTGCGCACGATAATAGCGGTCTCTGCTGTGCTAGAGTCTCTGGAAGATCTGGGGCCTTACATCTGCTCGTCTATCGATAAATTTCTATTATTTTCCATATACGTTCACGGTGAATGAATGAACAAGGTCATAGACTAAGGCTTTGTTCTCTGTTTCGGTATATGACGCTGCGGGCTAACGAAGCATACCAAGGCAGGTTATACGGCTGAACAAAGATACATGAACAACGGGCCTGTGATTTGAAGTTGACTTATCGGCAGATATATCAGGAGTCCTGAACAAAGGATGCCGGTGGACCTGTTCAAACATACTTAATCTGCTCTGATACATCGTTCTCCTGTTCTTCAGCTCTTTCGATCTGCGTAACCCTCTCACATTGCCAACCGGAAAGACGGAGCCACAAAATAAGGTGAAAATAAGCACAAGAAAAGACTTAACGTGCTTAGGGGAAGGCCCTAGAGGACCACTTCAGGTGACATTGTTTACGGCACAAATTATCGCTATCTTGAAAGACACTACGAACACCTTGCCTTGCGAGCCAGAGTCAGACTTCTGTATCCAGCAGCATGATATTCGGCAGATTCACAATCAACTCAAGCTCTGGATGAACCTTCATCACAATGGCAGTCAGGGTCTGCGTGCTATCTTGGAGAAATCTAGCGAGGGGCGATGCAAAACGCTCAAGATCTTGAGTACGATGACGATTCTTATTTCAAGTAAGTAGTCGTGCGTGAATCGCCTACATAGTGTCTTTTGTAATATATCGACAGAAGCTTACCAGTTAATCCCATTTACAGGGCTTATATCTCCGTCTCTTTGGTCACTCTGGGTAAAAAGGCCACTTCCAGACTCTCTTAAGACCAAGACTGAGAATTTGCATACATGGCTCCAACGGGCAGAAGATGGATATGAAGACGGAGATAGAGATTCCACAATCATCCCACTCAAGGGTCGCAAAGATGAAATCAATCATATCATCCGAAGCTTGGCTGACAACGCTGCATCTTTGATACAGCTGCACCCCCCTTCTGAGAAGACGGCCACCAACCGTGCTCTCAACACGATCGAAAGAGGGCAACTGTCTCTAATGCAACAAGAGGGTCGGATGATACCGCAGGAAAAGTTTGACCCAAAAGTTCTCGCAGAGGTAGTGGGAAAGGCGCTATTTCAAGTTCGTGAGAATGGGTGGGTTTCCGTTTTCATGTCTCCCGTATATCATTCATACATGTGTTCACACTTGTCTGATCAGTCTCCAGACTTTCTAACCATGAAGAAGAGGAGGAGGAAGACGCAGAGGCTCCCGAAATAACGCCAGAAATGCTGCGTAAATCCATCCAAAAGTTATCCGCTCTTCGTGAGAGAGAGAACAATCCAAGTAGTTCAGATTCAATGGGAACGTCACTGGGGCGGGCAGAGTTCGCCGCTTCAAGGGTCGATTCAAGTAAGCAAGATCTTGAACTGTTTATAATGGCGTCGGGACAACTGTCGGCACAGATTTCGCAGTCCAAGTCCAATGGACCTCGGTGACTTGATGAATTAATGCAAAAGTCGATGTCATAGTATAGTATATATAGGATACCTTACTCATCTGAGGTGAAGCAATCAGATGCCCAGTTTGAAACCACAGTCGAGGCTACCTATTCTTGGTGCATTATTTTCTGAAAGGGCCTCTGGTGAAGGTAGCTGAACCGGACTTTAGAGAAACGTGGCAAACGCGGCAGCTTTTGGTCAAGAGAGCCAGGCTGCGCTGTTGAGGTTTCCCCACGAGATACGAGAACTTATCCATTGCTTGAGCCTCAAAATCGCCAGCGTCTTGACGCCAGCGAGGTCTCTCCCTGGCTACTCCCGGCAAAGCTCACATCCTAGCCGCAAGTCGCGTTGTCGTTCGAATCTGGGCCCAAGCTGGTTGTGCGTGTGGGAAAGTACTTTTGCTTGCCGCCGGGGTTGCTAAGGTTGATCATGTCAGGTAACGTCGAGCAACAAAGACACACGAACAGCGTCACTGTGATCTGAAGAAGAACATAGATCAACAAAGATGTTAGAACAGCACTACTGTGGTTTGATCAATCGTCCAAAAAACACTTAAACTCTGCAACAAAGGAGAACAGTGAGCCCCCAAATGTATTTGACCTGTTTTCCCTCGCCATCCCGATTTCATGTTTCGTTAGCTCCTTATCTTGATTTCGTCACTCGCATCACCAAAGATGGAGTCGCATTCCATCCTCCATGCCGAGGAACTGTATGACCGCTTACTCTCACTCGAGGGAGCCACGGTTCAAAAGACATCTCTCACACAAATCAGTCCTTTATCCCGCGTAGTGAGAACAATGATCGTCATCTTTGAGCTCACCACCAAGACTTTGGCACGCGAGCTCAAAATAGAATACTCCGTTGAATACGATCTAGAGCTAAGGAGTCTAGAAGGGAGCCTTGCGAGACTTAAAAGATGTCACAATGATTATCAATGCTCCGACGGGCATTCGGAGCTGCCGCATGAGTGGCATACGGCAAGGTTCAATGTCTTGAGCGGAATTGCATACGAGCTCATGTGCTGTACGTACCAGGGCCCCTCTGGAGCTTTGAACGGTTTTTCTTGAAGATTAATGGAAGTTAATCATCTTACCCCGTGCATAGGGCTCAACATGGAGCAAAGACCGGGGGAACTCAAACAAGTTAAGCCACTGGTGCGATTTCTCAAAAGGCACAGAAAGGGCCCCGATGATAGCGCAAAGGATCAATATACCGAGAAGGCCGAAGACGAAAAAGACAACGAGACGCTCGAGTTGATGCAGGAGGCAAAGAGTAACGGCGGAGACAGCACAATTTATGGACTGATACGAGATGCACGCGAGTGGGGATACAATCACGGATTTTTGGCTATAGAGTCCGATGCTGCCCACGAAGACTTCAATATCAGGGTGACAAACTTAGCAGCATACACCATCTCCTTGGAGTTTTTGCAGTTCAAACGAATAAAAGATGAAGGTTCTGAAAAGGCCCTCAGCCGCATGCTAAATAAGCTTCGTGAGGGGAAGTATGTTGACATTTCTCTATCATCTGTCTTCTGCCGCTAAATATGTTTTCACTTGGCTGACACTCTCGGAGGCTTGAGCGGGAAGATGCGAAACTCCTAAAGGAACACGAGGCGGCTATAGTGAACGGCGCGTGGTACGCGGCTCCGAACCCGCTCTCTAGCGAGGACAAAGAAGGCACCAAAGTCATCGATGAGGAGTCACAGCGCATTCGAGATCGGACGATTAGGGAAATCTTTGGGAGAGTAGGCAAGATTTTCGCCGCGGTAGGGCATGACTTGTACGAACCCGAGCGTCATGACGTCGGCGAGGGCGAGATAGAGGCTTAAATAGTAGACGGCCCTCTCGTAGGCTGATGACAGAAATTGACGGGGAAATCTGGCTTTAGTGATTTCAATCGTGTACTTATGCTCATGGCGTTGCGGTCTAAGTTGAAGATAATTTGGTCTCGCCGCCAAATATAAGACTAAATGGCGTGTTGGAAAGAGTTTAGATGTTGTAAGGCCTCAAACGCGATTAAATGAAGAAGACGTCTGACTGCTTGGCCCTTGAATACAGTAGGTGTTTGGTTTCTTTGAATTATACATGTAGATATCTCAGTATTCTATCAATCGGGGTCTCTGGTCACTGAATGCTCGAGGTATCGCCCTGACAACCCCGCCAAAGCCCATGACCCAGCTACAAGTCAGATTGCTATGGAGCGTCTGGTTCGATAACACATAGGAAAGCATCACTGGTAACCGCGAGGGGCTAGCGAGGTGGACCATGTCAGATGATGTCTTCAACAAAGACATGAACAGCGTTATTGTGATCTGAGAATTCATGGACCAAAGGTATCCAGACTCTTTGACAAAGAACAGCGAACAGTGAACCTTCATATGGATATTTAATCTTCTCTCGCTCGTCATTACCATGTGTTTCAATCTAGGTCTATCCTATGTTCGCCATCTTCCCACGTCACGTTGCAAAAGATGGAGTTATCAAATGATAGCAAGAATGCTAACCAACACAATAACGAGCTCACAATCTTGGAGTCAGACGCCCAAGAGACATCTAATGATAAAGAAATCCACTTAGCCAGCCTTACTAGGGCGACAACCTTTATCTTTGAACTCGCGATGGTGATGTTGGCACGCGATCTCGCAGGAAGCAACGAGTTGGAGGAGGAACTTGCCAGCCTGAAGAGAAGCCTCCGCAGGCTTCAGAAATGCCAGGAAGGGCACATCATTCCTGCTAAGAATTCAGACGATAGCTCCGACGAGGGCGAGGGCTCTAACACGTACCCAAAGGTAGAGGGTAAGTGGCAATCTGAGAAGGGCAAGACTTTGTATCGCATCTCTGGGATTCTTATGTCGAGTAAGTGAAAAGGGCTCCCCTGGAAGTATAGTAAGTTTCTCTTGTGACTTGATGGAAGCTAACAATGTACCCCGTGTTTAGGGCTCATGGCTCCATTGACTTGGACAGAGAAACCATTTCCCCGCCTTCAAGCAGTACGTCAATTTATCAAGGAGACAGAAGCCGGAGGCGGAGATATTGTGATGCATTACCTTCTTACGGCCCCGTTGACTGCCTCTGACAATGGCAAAGACCATATCTGGCCCATCGCGCTTAATTTAGAAGCAGCTACCATACATTTGATGAAGTTGCAGTACGAAGGATACTCCAACCCTGGAGTTGATGAATGTCTTTGAAGGGCATAAGAGAGATCGGTCGAAGACCTCACGCTCACGGAGTACGTTTGCATTTCTATGCTATTTGTGCCAGCTGTCTCTACTTGACTAAACAACATTGTAACAGCCCCTCGGAGTTTGCATCGTCAATCCTTCGATTTAAACGGGCGTGCAGAGTGTCGGACAAGTCATTCGATGCGTGGAAGGAGACTGAACTGCATCCTGACAAGTACGACACATCGTTCCACCCATGGTCGGCGGGTTGGATCGAATATATGACAGCTATGAGGAGGGCAACTTACATGGAATTCTTCATGGATTCATCATCGGTTCAGAAAACCCAGACAAATCAAAAAGCGAACGAATGAACACAGCATGTCTGTCGACTTGCGCCCTCTTCCGCGGCCTCATCGACGTCATGACGACAGCGGGGTATTTCTCAACGACCCCGCCAAAGCTCGCAACCTGCCCATAACTTTCGTTGCTGTCAGCACCCGAGATCAAGTTAGCTATATATGTCATATAAAAAGTCTTCAATAAAGTCTCATCAAAGTGCTTTAATGATTGAAAATACCAATATCGAGTACAGACGTGAAGGCTGGCGCGACTCACCATGTGGCCCAATGATGAATCATAGACCAAAAAAACCACCTAACCTCAAAAAACCTCACACGACATTCCTCACCTCTCAACTTCACTCATAAAACAAACCTACCTCAATCCGCATCCATCACCCTCGACCTCCATTCATCGCCATCACCAAACCCATGACCATCCGAACCCTCTCAACCCGCCGCATATCCCAACTAACCCATCACCTCCAATCCTCACCAAACTCATCGCGCACCATGTCCTCCTCCCCATCAACATCAAAAGCCTCACCAGGCCCAGCGCCCTGGCGCGCCCCCTTCCTCAAAAACGTAAACGACATGGCCTCACCAGAATTCAACCTCGCAACAATCCACTCCTCCTCCTCATCCTCTTCCTCTCTCACCCCCCGCCTCCGCACCGTAATCTTCCGCGGCCTCTGGGCCTCCCTCCCAGTCAACCCAAAAAACACAGCAGACCTCAACCCGCCCCTCTACGAATCCGACCTCCTGACCCTAACAACCGACGCCCGCATGGCAAAAGTGCCCGACTTCCTAACTTCCAACGGAGAAAAAGACGACGTCAAAAAATCAGGCGGCGGCGGCCCCGTAGAAGCATGCTTCTGGACCGACGCAAAAGTCCAATGGCGCATCCGCGGCGAAGCCTTCCTCCTCGGGCCGGACATCGACTCCTCCTCCTCCTCCGGCGCCAAAGCGCTCCGCGAGCACCTCCTAGCCCGCATGCGCACCGTCACCCCAGCAGACGCCAAACGCCGCCGCGAACAAGACATCCCCTCCGGCAAAACCGTCATCGGCTCCTCGGAACAGGACTGGTCCTTCGCCCGCGAGGTCACGGCGCACTTTGGAAACTTATCGCCCATGATGCGCGGCACGTTCAGGAACCCGGTCCCGGGGACGTCCCGCGCCGCGAACCCGCCCTCGGACACGCTGAAGCTGGGGCAAAAGGTCGAGGACCTGGAGGACGAGGTCGCGAGGGAGAATTTCCGGGTCGTGGTGATTGTGCCGACCGAGGTGGATCAGACGGACCTGAGCGCCTCGGAGGACCCGAGACGGTATCTGTACCGGTTTGTCGGGGCCGAGGCCGAGGGGAAGGAGACGGAGGGTGCGGAGAGGGTGAATGGGTGGGAGAAGATTGAGCTGTGGCCGTAGATGAGAGGTCTCGGTGACCATGATTGGATTAGATCCGTTGACTACTCCGTGTGCAAGGTAGAATCAAGACATCACTGGCTATAGACTTTACGGTCCAACAGGAGGCGTCGCAAGCTACCCAAAGAACATCATCATTCTGAGCCCATTTCACGCGCGCCTTCACATCATCATCGTACAATTGTTTGCGCCTCAAAACGTGGAAGATGTGCCAACGGAGCGCTAGCCTCAAGCAGCAGACCGAAAGTCCGAACCCCCAGGTCTTCGTACCTACCGAAACAACCCTCATAACTTGGTCAGACTCGTCACACAAAAAGCAGATGGCTGACTACCAAGTACTAGTAGGTACCATGTTGCATGTCGCACGTCGAGGGGGGAAAAAGTCAAGCTACCAGGCCGAGCCGTGCCGTGCTTACACCCCCTCTTCAAAGGTTCACCGGTCGATCAGAAGAGAGAGAGGAAAAAAAAAGAGACCGGACACATCATCCACATTGCGACTCTTCGCCCGAAGCAGGCCTTGTTCCCTTTGCTGGCGCTGTTGGAACAGGGGTGTGAGAGAGAAAGAGACTCTGAACGAGTGTTCCAACACCCAAGTCTCCGTAAGTAAGCTGGGCAAGGAGTGGTACTCAGCGGGCCCCAATGGCCGGCTCCCGTTTTAGGAAAATGGTACGTCCGATGGGATCTGCATGACTGCGCGGGATGGGAGATGTTCTCACGCATGTGAGAGGAAGGAGAGAAAGCAAAGTTCCCCATGAAGTCCGAGTTGGCGAATTGGGATCCTTGCGGATAGGGTCTTGCTGTTGCGACGTGTTGTGACCTGTAACTTGTCGAGGCCTGTTGGTCGAAAGAGTCGGCTGCCGGCGTATGGAGTAACCATCACTACTACACAGTAGATATACATGCATGTTTCCACGATACGATAGAGCCGCTGCTGGACGCGCGGGCTTGCGTGATCGCGATGCGGCGCGTACGTACCAAGTATGGTAACAATTCTCCGAACCATGGATGAAGCAAGGCGCCGAACGACGCGGGCATTGCTGCTTCCCGTCCGCGTCGGAAGCTTAGGTTCAATTTTAGTTTTGGTCTTTACTCTTCGTCAACGCGGCCTCTGGAAGGTCGGATACGGTCGGGTCGGTAGTCTGTATCCACAGCAATTCTGTCCCGGTGGGGGAGAGGAGAAACTCCAGAGGGAGAAAAAGGGTAAATTGAGCGAGGGAGAGCAATATCGACACAGAATCGTCTCGAAGACGGCCGCTCATGGATAGCCCTGCCACAAACCACATGGCACTTCCGATCAGAACAGCCAAGCTTGTACTCCAACCTCTTGCAAGTCAGCCGATCCCAGGCGAGCTTCAGAGGATAGAGGAGCGACTTTACGGGGTTGAAACGAGATGAAGAACACTTGTTGACGGTTGACCACGTCTGTTCTTCCCCCCATCCACCAAACTTGTTCCGTTGCTCGTTGCTACTGTAACGAAATCGACGGGTTTTGCATCCCGAATAGGGCGATCGCACCGATGAGCGGATGAACATCCCCAGTTCGAGTGGAAGCTCTGAGTGGGCGGACGCTAGCAGACGATAGCCACCAACCCCTCGAGAGCAAGAAAAAATCAAATCAAATCGTAAAGCCACAACTTCCCAGCCTGTCCCCGTCGCTAGTCAGTCAATTCCACATGGCAGCCATGATAGCTCTAAACCACAAAGGAGAGCGCTCCCCACTCCGGATCTGGCAGCGCTGCTTCCGCGAATACTTGGCGGGCGGCCGGCCGTCTTTCTGCGCGTAGCGTGATTACAGGGAGAAACAAGTTGACTAGGAGGTTAGGCGAAGGAAGAGAGCAGGGGCATCTTTCTCTCTCTTGTTTTCACTCACTCACTGTCCAGACTCCAGCAGCCTGCTTCCTTCTTGTTCCGGCGGGTCTTTCAGGACACGAGACACGAGACTCGAGGAAGGGCAGCAGATATCAGGCCATCCCCACGAAGAGGATATGCAGCCCCATGTGCGATGACAAGATGCATAGTATGTCTGTACTTCGTACTTCGAGGATATGCCCCGTTCGGCCCCGGGCCCCTCCCCTTCTTCGTGAATCGCGACGGCAATGGCGTGTTCAACAATTCGCCGTTTTTTTTTAAACCTCGCGTTAGAGGCAATACGGCGTGTCGGTTGAACGCGTGGGTATGTCAGGGCAAAAATGCAGCATCCGTCTATAGTTCGAGCTGCAGCTAGCGATCGGTATCCCCTGCGTGCTGTGGGTGACTCGGTGCCAGCTGCCACTAGACGGTTCCGTCCTGAGTATGTGATTGATGGGTTGTTGGCGGAAGCGCGCGGAGTTTCTTGCAACATCGTGTGCGCGCACTGCGCGAACAAGACGGGCCCTGTTCTGACTCTGGATTCGTCAATGGCCAGGGTCCCCAAACTCTAAACCGCGCGACGGGGCCAAGTTGTTTTCGTAAAGACGACGCAGCTCACTGAGCTCTAAACTCATAAATCACTGCGGAAGCTCCCCCGCGCGCGCTTCATCAGTTGTCTCCCACGTGCGTGTGAGGCTGTCGACGGCGCCGGATGCAAAAGGAGGCGGCGTTCCATCAGCGGTCGGCCCCTGATCATCTCCGCATCGTACAAGCCGATAGCCCCCCAACGAAAGACGATCCGGCACATGCATTGCTCGCCTAACCGCCGAGGCAGCATCACGAGATCAGGTGCCGTGAATCAATGGAGCTCGCTTGTGTTGATTCGTTGCCTCCTACTCCAGCGTGTCCCGTTCTTTGTCGACATACGACAGCTCGTAGGCTGCCAACCGATTCTATTGAGGATCCGCCTTGTTGCAGGCCCTTCTCCCTCCCGAAAAATGACTGTATCGCACCTCTCAAGGGGACGCTGCCACTCATGTAAGCGGTGCAGCTAGGGAAGCTGTTGGTGTGGATGGGTGGCCCCTGGGAGGTTTATATGCAGATGAGAGATGATTTCGTAGGATAGCTGCCACACTGTGAAGAGAACTTCAGATCGATCAGAGCTTCAAAGTGACCTCTGCCCCGTCATAATGAGCTTGCAAGTAAAAGCCTAGTTAGGAGTCAAACAGCGCTCGTGCCTCGTCCTCAGACACTTTAATTTGTCGACGCTGCAATTCGGCCAAGGTTCCTCCTGGATTATCTCGAACACGTACGCGTAGTCGCTTCGTCCCGCGGATCGACTTGAGTACCGAGTGCTATCCAGAACGTGTTCTGAAGAAAGAGCAGAGTTTCTTACTGCAGGTTGGCCAAAGGAGGAACAAAATGCTTTTTCCTACATGTGCTTCGGCACCTATGCTGCTTGCTCAGTGCACTGAGCCCTGTTACATTTGCAAGTCAGTTCCAACACGGACGGAGGTAGCATGCCGCAATGCGCGTGTTTTAAGGCTATGAGCGACAACATGCAGTGTCAAACGTCAGATTGATGACTTTCCTGATACGCAAGGCCACTCTTGCCCACCTGCGCGAGTGGAATGTAGTCTCTCTGAGATCGGACATGGCGCCGCATCGAACTCGGAGAAACCTGCCGCTCGTCATGGGATATCGCAAACCACGCAGCGGCCAATATGCATGTCGCCGTTCTCTGAACAAACTCGGGCGTGTGGGTGCTGGCGACGTCTTTGTATGGCTGAAGATGCTTCACCGTGGTTTTCGGGTCTGGTACCCAGTCCTCACCCTGTCGCCCTGCCGATGAGCTGCATTGCGTGTTCAATTCGTGAACTCTCAACGTGAACCAGGGTAAAGCTGCCCTTTTCTGCTTGCCGCAACATGGGACCGAGTTTGCAATAGGAGCTCCACCAGGACACATCTTCTCCAAGCCGTTTCCGCCCGCTATACTCGCGGCCGCGATGATACCGGAAGACTTGGCCGACTTGAACTTGCATTATAAACCCTCAGCTGCCCGCCCAGAGAGCTTGCCGCCACCGAATAAGGGGTCAGCGTTTGGAGGGTCAACTCAATGGCGCTGCCGCTTTCATGGAAACACAGGGCTGATGAACGCTTTATCGTTGGCAACTTGCAGACTTCCTGACGACTTATAGGCTGTACCTATGTACCTCTACTTCGTAAAATTCGGAGAAATAGGTGTACGAGCTGCTTTGGTCAGGATGGACTGGCGCATCTTGAGAGAACGGGGGTCTCCCTGACACCAGTATCGACTGTTTCGCGGGCACCTCTACTAATCGTCTCAATGAGTTGCCTGACTTTGCCCCGGTTGCTCCGGGCGGAGGGAGCCGGGCAGCTCGTTCGTTACAATTGACAGGCTGCCCGTCTCGTTGTGTTCTCATTTGACCGTTTCTAGTTAGACGGTCCGATTGGAGACTGACTGGGCCTTTGCTGCGTCAGAACATCAGTTGGCTGTAACCAACAAGTTTGCGGGGTAATAATGTGTTCAGCAGAGTTGACTGATGCGCTCACCGATTATCACCACACTGGCTAGACACACCCTATAGCGGGTTGTGTGTAGGCATAGATACAGACCGGTACGTCCATCCTCGGTAGTCCGTTTTCTCAGACCCTTCGTTGACAAACCCCGTGGAAGCCCGGACAAGGTGTAATTATCAGATCGGTAGCCGGGCGATTGTGGCTTGTGTCGTTAACCTTCTTCATCTATGAGTACGCGTGAATAAGCTCTTAACCGCGGACAAGGTCAGTGCCGCCAGCCACCTGCGTTCCCTCTGCCTCGCTCACTGTGAAGAGTATTCGACTTGTGTATCCGCAGTGCGTAGGCGACCGGCCTTGACGAACATTGGCATTGTCAGCCAAAAACACCAGCGATTCATCTTATGTATTACCCCGTAGACTTCTTTGAGCGAGAGCCCATATCGGGTGGCATAGGATGCGCAGGAGCCAAGAGCCAGAAGTGAAAAGACGTAGAACCAGTTGCTGGCGGTCTGGCAAAACCGCCAACGCATCAAAATAAAACTAACAGAATGAATGATGGGTCAGATGGTTGGGACTAGAGGCTGGCAGGCCGCTTGATCTGCAGCGGCATGCATGAGCAAGCGAGAGAACAAGGAGGCCGCAAGAGAGGATCGCACGCTGCAGGCATCGAGTGGATGGACAGGTGGCCGTTGGATGCATGAGCTGCAGAGACAGCGTCGTCTCCCCGCTTTGATTGATGAATGAGGGAGGCTGCGCCGGCCTCGTCCATCGGAAGTCTGAGGCCCGGCTATTGGCGTGATTGCGGTTCTCACCAACGAAAGCACTGAAGACGTGTGCGTTTTGTGATGGAGAGAACCCTCCTTTTGAGGCTCTGAGCGTCATTTCCGGTTAGTGTTATCAGCAGCGTTGGATGATTCGGCTTGGAGTTAAAGGTGCCACTGGAAGAAAGTGCCGTCGCATCCTCATCCAACTGCCATCAGCGTTGGGGACTGGACCCTGAACCTTTCTTTGCCTACCAATTGATGCTGTTAATAACTCAAGGCACAAGCCAGACTTGGACAGTTCTGCAGTGCAAGGTCACGAGCGGCGGACAAGGTTTGAGCTGCGAGATTGAACTCTCCGGGCGTCTCCTTTTTTGCCTCGCAATAATGTTAATCTGAGTTATCAGTACGAATGAAGTCGGGCAAATTCCCTAGGCGTGGTGAGACCCGAAATTGAAGCCGTTGACCAGCCGCCGATGGCCAGAATGAGCGTCTGGATAATGGCACGAATACCTACGGAGTCGAGGAGGAATAGGGCTAGCTAGTAGTGGCGATCGATGGGGCCCGTTGCTTTGAGATGTTTCATCCTTGCTTGTCTCCGCTAAATGATTTGTTCGAGAAGGCCTGGAAGACACTGTGTTTGGTCCCCTATCCGTACCAAGTACACTTTGTGGCTGCGGTCTGGAAGCTCGGAGCTGCGTTCGCCATGGTCGAGCGACTTACTGCCAGGAAGGGAGGGGAAGAACAAGAGGGTTGCAGCAGACTGTGATTTTCGAAACCGCTTTGAGGATCCAGAGGTTGAGCGATGAGGACTTCCCGGACGTATAGTGCGCTTGGTTTGGTTTCCAAGCATAGCTAGCAACTGAGCAGGACTGACGGCCAATATGGTATGATCCATGCCCTTAGCATCAACTCTTCTCGCTTTTCGATCCTTTCGGGCCTGCTTTCGTAGGCGGTTTTGTGTTGTCGTATCTGTGGTCGCCGATCTTCTCGGCCGGCAGCCGACACGGTATCTCGCATTGTCCGGCAGGCGGTATTCTTCCCGTGATAGACAGTTGAAATGGCACGGCCGCCCGAGAGTTTTGCAGTTTTGCAATTCAACAGCGCCGATCGTACACCAGCCAGTCGCAGGCTCTGATGTTAGGTTGTATTTAATTCCTTATTATTGGCGCTGTTAATAAGACCTCAAGCACGGACATGGCAAGGGCAGTCGATGGTCCACTGGCGCCCGTGCAAAGTTAACGGCGCAGACGGCACCGTATGTCGGAGCCACGTCCGATGTGAGAAACTGAGAATTTCTATGAAGGCTGGGGCGGTGACGGCTGCTGCCCAAGAAGGTTTGGTCGATGTGCCGAATTCGTATCGTGATAGGGCTAAGAAGGCACCACTAGGTGAAAACGCATTAGGTGCAAAAGAAGATTGACGACTCGTCATTTTCTTATGAGACTAGGTCTCGGGGTAGACCACTAGTATGTCTCTGATTAGCGCTGCTTGGGTATGTCGGGCATCCATCATTCCAATCGAGAAACACGAAGAGGAGCTCTGAGGCTTTTGTGAAGACTGCTTGAGCCCTGAGCAGCAAGGCAAGGCAAGGTAAGGCAAGGATGTCATGTGCTAGAGCCGATGCCTTTGTGTTGTCTCCAGAGACGGCTGATGGCGTTGCCCTCCTCATCAGAAAGGGCTGCGACTCGGCGGGGGAACAGGACGCGGACTCTGGGCGTCTGGTGTAGGTAGTGCAAGCAACGGCCGTAAACCTCCTCGACGTCGGGGGCGTTGCATGGTAAGTATCGTGTGGGTGATGGCCGGGTGGTCAGTCAGGTAGGTACATAGGCGGCCGGAGGAGGCGCTTTTCTGACTCTGCCACTTCCGTGCCGCACTTTGCATATTGCCGCAAGACGGTGCAGCTGCATGTCAGTGCTAGGCCGCCGGGGCTTGGCCATCCGTGGCCGTACACCAACGCCTCGATCGAAATCGGAAAGGTTGAGATAAGGTCAAGTACGTAACGTTGTGTCGGCCAGTCTGTGGAGAGCCGCTGTGTTATGTGAGGAGAAGTGTCCCTTCACACCGTTTTCAACAAGCAATCGAGAGTTGGATATCTTGCTGTGATTTTGGCCAATTGATGGCTGCACTGAGAATGACTGACTCATAGTGACGAGACTCCCTCATCGCTGTGATCAATGTGCAGTTCATCCGCGCCGATGAAAGATAGATCTCAGCTCCATGTTGTAAAAGCCTATGGTGGTTTCGTAGAGAAACATTCTGGCTTCTGCCAATGGCGAGATTGGCCGTACCTAGTTAGACTTTTGATAGACTTGTTGTGTGCGTGTGTGCGTACTTCGAGCCCCACTGTCATAGGTGGTCCCTGGCGGCGAGACATTAGATTGAACGTCGACCGTTGAGCCCACTGCCTCATAGCCGCCCTCACTAATACTCCATATTACTCCGTACAGGCAGCGTACATGGAAAAAAGCTGGCTGGGGTCGGGATCTGCAGCTATTGTGTTCGCGAATACGTTCCATGCGACGTGCCAGCGTGCCCATCACTTCTGCCGCGTTGAAGCCATGTGGGACGGATAGAGCAAGCGATGCAGAACACCACAACAAAGTGATATTCTCGCGGGACCACATTCTGTTCCTGAAGTAATGGCGGCCAGTCATTGAACGATAGCTCAATACGCCCCCAGTGATGACGGCTGGTTTCGCAGCGAGGGTACAGGAAGTGGTGGGAGACAGTGAAGTAGATGTTGCTTTGAATCGATATTCTCGACTTCGAAAGATTTGACTTGGAGGGTTGAAGGCTAGTGTAGTACAGTAGCGTACTGGGTAAGGGCCAGTGAGTGGCGGCAGGCCCCTCGTCAGAAAAGTAAAGCTCAAGATCTTCGCGCGGCGTGCGGCGTGCGGCCTGCAGGTGGATGGAGTCGCTAGTATTCATAGTGCCATGTACTATGGAGACGAGGCGGGCTTCAAAAGACGATGAGCCGCCATTCCCCCGTGTCAAGTCGTCGTCCAGTAGCCGCTGGCAGACATGGAGAAGTAGATGGACATGGATGTCCAGGGTCCTGTTTTTGTTGTGACCGAGAATGGAGATTTCCGATTCTCCCTTGCATGTGTGGACAGTGTGAGTGACTGAGTGCGTTCGAAACGATCATCAGATCAAGCGTGAAGCGTCCATCAAGTGTATGTAGACGGGAGTGTGAGATGTCAGAGCTGAGAGATTGGAAGGTACATCCGAACCCCGGCACCCGTCTTTTTTGAAGCCAAAGCCGAAGCACTTCAACTTTGTAGGTCGTATTGCATTGTAATCCGATTATTCGAAAGCGAGGCAAAGAGAAGCGTGGACGTTGACGTTGACGAATCCAATGAGACGAGATGAAGATGGAATACTCCGTACGTACCTTGCCTTACACCGTTCGTGGGTACGTACTGCAGGATACTCCGTGTCCGTTCCTTCCATCTTGATTTTGAGATGCTGAGGCAGCAGGTGGTGGTGGTGGTGGGTGTGACCTGGAGGTGAGGTGTTTCCAGTCTGCGGTACAGACTCACAGAGTACGTACCGTCCGGTTTCTTCCCTACCTACCTACGTAAGTTGTGCGCTTCTTTCCTTCTATCCGTCCTTCCACCATTCCTTCCCTTCCCTTCCCTTCTCCTCCCCTTCCCGTCCGTTGTCCCCTTCCCATTTCTATCATCCTTCATCCATGGCTCCTTCTTCCTCACAGTGACAACAGTACCCCCGTGAGGTCCCCCTGTCTTGCGGAAAGAAGGTACGGGCATGGGAACGTACCGCTCCCTCCTATGCTGACAACACGCCCCTGGTGTGGAGTCTCCGTGTGTTCTCTTGGCCCTTGCCCGGCCTGCCACCTCCTCACTCGCTCTCTCCCGTCTCCAGTCTCCAGCCCGATGCGATGCAGCGGTGGTCCTTCCTTGCCCTCGTCCGTCCCTTCTCCTCATCCACCCCTCCCCCCTGCTCTCTAACGATGGGACTCCACGTTGGCAGTACGTACCTCAAGACTCTGGTTCCATCTCAGGTCCTCTCCTCCCCTCCTCCTCTTCTCCTGCTTTTTTGCACTGGCTGCATTTGCTTTGCATCCTCTCTGCATCGCTCTCGCATACTCCGTACACACACCTACTAAACACACGCATTCTGGCACACATAACAAGTACAGTATACACAACACACGCAGCAAACCTTACACAGAGAGAAACAGACGAATAACCGTACCTCTCTCTATTTGACGGCTGCCTTCTCTACCGCTCTTTCTCTCCCCTCTCCAATCTCCTCCTGAGCTGTTGAACAAAGTCCCTGGGTTCCCCCGTTTCCCGCCCTGCCACCCCACCATCCTTCATTCACATCGCACAACTCGGGGTTCCCTCTCTTCCTCATAATTGATGCTCCCTCTTCCATCTTGTCTCGTCTTTCTCTGTTCTTTGTGCATCATAACGTAGCCTTTGGGTGTCCCCCTCTCCACCATCTTCCGAAGCATCTTCTGAAGCAGATACACATCTGTGCCTCTGTCTTCTTGCAGAATCATCTGCCTACAAACCTCGCCACAAACCTCCATACGGCACAACATCCGCGCCATACCTTACAGATACACGGTAGTCTTTGTTTGAGACCCTCGATCCAGCCGTTGAGATCGAAAACACTACGAGTCTTCCCCCCTGCCGACTTCCCCCCTTCAGACTCCAGAGTAGCATCAAGCCGCCTCACCTCGACAAACAAGCCGCCGCCGAAATTCTCCTCTTCACCTTTCCCCTCCCAGCGCTAGCGGCTTCTGTTAGTGCCATTGAGTCCTTGACCCCCATACCTGGCCGCCAAGCATACGAAGGCATAGAAACGGTACATCCATCCACTTGGCCGCATTTCACACATGAGCGACACCGACCTAACTCTCTTCTGATCCTCGTAGGCTTGTAGTACGGATACCCATACCTTAGCCTCTGTCCCCCCCAAACTATCTTCCTTACCGACGCTTATTACCTGCCTATCCATCCACCGATCCATCATCCTTCATCATCCACATACCTTACTTTATATCTCACCTACCCTTTTCCACCCTCGTCCACATTTCCCATCAATCCGAGGCTTGGACACTTCCCGTGCAGATCTCGCCTCTGCTTCTAGTTGCCGATCACACTCGTCCAATTACGGCTCCTTTTCTACCGACGCCTTTAGCACAGCATTCCTCACCACCTATTTTACTGTCTGTCGCTTTCTGCCCGACTCACTTTTGCTACGTCTTTGCCGGCACGACACCGCCGCTAGCCTCGATTCTGATTGCCGCCCAAGTCCAAGCGCAAGGCTTCTTTTTTACTCTTTGCTCTAGCATCGCCTGCTGTAGGAATCATCGACTATTGAGCATCTACCGACTTTGGAGATTGTCGCACCACCACACTCGCGCGAGAGAAGGATCTCTAGATACGCCGACGCTTGCTGGCGGACCATGCTTCACCCATAAGCGCGTCGATCTCTTCCTCTCTTCCTACCATTCCCTGTCGACGACTCTGCAACGCCGATCATCGCCCCAGAATCCACCAAAGAATCCCCTCAAAACCTGCTTCATTCGCTGCTACGTTCCATTGCTGGACAGCATCCCGATTCAAACCTGCCACACTTTCTACAACTAGACGTTGAGGGTCCCCAAACACTCAACGCCTAGTACTCGCTGTAGCAATCACGGCCAGCTCACAAAAGGACGAAGACCAAGACTTGGTCATGGACGCCCTCAAGAACATCGCCAACAACGTCCCCGATTGGCTCAATCGTCTCGACGAGCTTGGGGACCAAATAGACCAACGTCAAGTTGAGCTCGCTGCCCTTGGTGCAGACAGCTCGTCGCGATCAATCAAGAACCGCGGCTCAACCGAATCACTCAAGCCAAAGGACGAACCCGCCAATGCTATCCCTCCAACCGACGACGAATTGAATGCGGAAAAGGCCGACGCTCAACGAGCCGCTGGCGCCAAGACACCTCCCCAAGACGAACCGAAAAGCAACGATCAACCCTCTAGCCCAAGCAGCGGCACGCCATCTGCCCTCAAGAAACAAACCGAGCAAGCAATGGCCCTGGCACAAGCTCGAGCTCGTGCTATAGTAGAGAAGAGACCCCGACCGAATTCCGTCCTTTCAGTTGAGGAAGGCGCGCCGATCAAGTACCGATCACGAAAACTGGTCATGGTCTACTACGACAGCTATGTGCAGCTCTTTTTTGAAGAGCTAGTCAAATTTGTGTCAGCTAGCCGCAACCTGATGCGCAAGGCCAAGATGGCAGCAAAGGTGGCACAGATTCGTCGCTTGGCGGAACAAGAACTACCCGAAGACGAAGACGGCGATAAGGCTGGCGATCTCCAGCCAGATACCAATACCAGTGCCTCCGACGCGCTGCCGTCCTTGCGGTACATGAGCACAAGGCGGATGGGACCCGGCGGTCGGAGGGGTCCTTCATTTACGAGAGCCGGACAGGCCGGCGGTGGTGGTGCAATGATGGGTGATGGGGGCCCGGATGCCTACGACGAGCTGGACAAGTGTCTTGAATACGTGCAAAATCAGTGCGAGCACGCGGCACACCAGTTCCTGCGTGATGGAGAGTGTTCAGAAGAAGTTAGCAACATTCAACGTCGGTTGGCGGAGACAAAGGAGCTAGCCCTGAAGGAGATGGAGCGAGTCCAGAAAGAGGAGCCCGAGCTGCTGAAGGCGGCCAGCGAGGCGAACAAGGTGCGGACTCTTCGACCAACGAGCATGCGGCGGGAGCTCACGGCCGCCAAGGACAGCAACCCACCCATCACACCTAGGAAGCTCGAGGTTGATGCAAAGATTGAGGCCGATACCAAGACTCCAGTTGCTAAGACGATCGAGGTGGACATGTCAAAGCCACTTGAGGCAGACGATGGGCCGATTGAGGCCGACAACGACGAGGGCATCGACGACATGGAAATCACCCTGCCGCCTCGGCTGAACTATCGATCTACGAGGGCGATGCGTGGCTAGACGCCATCATCGGATATTGCAACCCATTTACAAAAGGCATATTTCTGTTTTCTTTATTTTAATGAATGAAACGGCCTCACCTGGGGATAAGAAGAGCATTGACTGGGAGGCAACGAGAACCAAAACGGGGGCGCGGGGGGAGGGGGGGTTGGTAGGCACGTGGACTGAAGAGGGTCAAAAGATTTGCCGCCGATGATATCGAAAAACAACATGCATAGCATAGCGTCTGCTTCTTCACCATCGCTCGAATTGCATAGGAGGTCGCTTGCGTCGTACATATTTGAACTGAGGAGGGATTCTTTCTGGAAAGAGAAAGAGATGGCGAGAGAGTTGGGTTTACTGTGAAGCACAAGGCGAGGGAATCACATTTTATTTTACTGTCTTTAATAGTACGGAGAAGAGGACGGGCCTCGAGTCAACCGTCTCGGGTACAGCAGCAGCAGCAGCAGCAGTGTCTAGCTGATCTGCCGAGTCAATCGAAAGGTTTCTTGCATCATGATGATGTCTGCTTGTTGAGTTCGTGCCCTGTATGCCAGTCTATTGATGTATTATTCCATACTCTGCTCCGTAGAGTAAGTGCGTATTCGTCATCCATACGTGAAAGGCACTCCCGATATGCTTCATCCCATCTCTCCGTTCTCTCGTTCCTTCTCAAGATGATTATACCTCATGGTACAGCAGGTAATTGAGGCGGGCGGATAACCTCTCATCCACACGACTGGAGCCAAGTCTTTATGTCATTTCCCTTCTCAACATACTATGTTTCTTGCCGAAACGTTTTCCTCGTGGCGGCCACGAGGATTCCGGCGCCCTTGATCCCGCCGTCATGGCAAGGGCTCAGGACGATTCTCACCGGCAGAGGCGACTGTGATTCCGGCCCGCCCGCAGAGTATTCTAGCTTCACGATCTTGTCCAAAAAGTCTTGTGTGTCGGCGAGGTAATCTTGG